AATTAAGTTCAATATTATTAAAATTAACTTTTTAATTGAAAATAAATAATAAAAAATAAAAACTTGATGATTGTTAACAATATTATACATTAAAAAAATTACATATGATTTGGAAAGTGAAAAATACAAGTAACAATGATTTCAAAATTCAATTTTTTTTCAAAAATAAACTTTATTAATTAATAAAATATGAGCTACTAAAAAATCAGAACTACCACCTAATAAATTACCTGTATGTAAGGTCATTTATTTTGATTGGATTGTTCATTCAAAAATATTTCAAATGGGAAGCTTCCTAAAATATATAGTATTTTGTATAGTTTTTCTTTATACTACAGTGATGAAAAATATTAAAATCCCAAGTAATATGCACTTTATTTAGCAAATGAATGAACAAAAAACTATTTTTTTTATTTATAAAGTTACCAGAAACAAATTACATACAATACACAGAGTTAAAAAGTTTAACTCTTTCAATAATAAAATTACTGCTACTTTTGATAAGTTCATTGGTCTAGCAATACAAGAATTATATTTGAACTATCATTTAACATAACTAAAAATATAAATTGTGATAAATAAACACATTTTTGTGATTTATGTTATGAGACTATTCAATTTACAATTAATACGGATGGCTTAAATTATAAATAATTAAAATGTATAATAATTAAAATTTATTGTGATATATTAGTCTTTTAAATATTTAAAATCTATAGGTAGTATAAAAAGTATATTGTAATATTTATAGTCTAAAGACAACAGAAATATATTTTTCTCCACAATTAAGAAGTTTTAAGACTAGTTAAATATATAAATATTTTAACTTTTATATTATTACCAAATACTTAAATATTAAATATTATATATTTAATTAAAAACAATTATTGTTATACTCAATATATTTGTTTATTAAATAAAAATTATTAAAGGTTTATATTTTATTTTTTATAAATATATATATATTTGTTTAAGTTGCCCTATAGCAGTACTACAAGTTTCAAGGGTGTGCTATCTTAAGGTACTCCTACCAGATCAATCCGATAATAGCTACTATTGTGGTTAACATTTTTAATTATTTTTGTAGTCTGACCTTGGAAACATTATAAGACAATTTTTTTTTCACACAAAATAGTATACAGAAATGTACTTTAATAAATATATATATATATATTTGTTTATGAAGGTAAAAGTAACATACAATAAGCTGACAATTTCATTTTGGAACATTTTTCAGGACAAACAAGAAACAAATATTGTTTTAAAACAAAATTGACTAACTATATTTTTTGGTAAAAAACTTTGTGCTGTATTATTATACAAGATTATTATCAATTATGAGATTTTTTTATCAAAAAGTATAGTTATTAGCTTATTACAACAAACGCTTCAGTTGCTTATTTATATTAGGTAAGAAATATTTTGAAGTACAATGCATAATTAAATGTACACTCTAATTCAAAGTGATACGCAGATATTAATTAAAAAAATTCTATAAATATTGCATTCCTTTCTCAATTTAAAAACAAATCAAATTATTTTTTTCATGCTAGATCACAGAATAAGAAGAATATAAAAAACAAAATTATGTAATAAATGTTACGTTAATTCATTTAACACAGAAAAATTAAATGTCACTATTTATAACTAAAATATAAGTCAAAATGAATAATACTACTAAATTACTGTTCAGTGTCGTGTCTAATTAAGGGGTTAGTGGTAGTGAAATGGGTGAAAATATGAGTATTTTATACAACAAATAATACAAAGTTATTATATTATGTTTTAATTAAATTTGACAAAAATTAAAAAAAAATTTTTTGTAAACCAAGTTTTGGCTACATTTAATGAACCCTCTCAGCAGTTGGTGACCACTATAATTCAAAAACCACTCAACGGACTTAAATTAAATTTATGCATGCTTATTGAAACATAAAAAGAGTGCCTGATTAAAGCATTTCTTTAAAATTAAAAATTATATTTTTATAAACAATAAACTTGTGTTCTTTTTCTAAAAATCTGCAAATAGATTAACAGAGGTCGCCATTTTGTTTTTTTCCAAAACAAAAAATTGTCCATAAGGCACTAGATTCACTATTGAACTAATAATTTATTTTTGTATGAAACAGTAAAATTTTATGATCACTGCAAAGCATGATATGTGAGAGGAGGTCCTACAAATATAGCCATAATTTGGTTTACAATAATTTTTTATTTTTAATTTTGGACAAATAAAGTTAAAACATAATATAATCATTTNTTTTTAATTTTGGTCAAATAAAGTTAAAACATAATATAATCATTTTGTTTTGTGTATTTCAATTGTAATAAATTAAACTACTATAAAAAAAAATTATTTAAAATACTCATTTGTTCACCCATTTGACTATCCCTAATCCCTATGAAGCTACCTGAGGCAACTGCCTTAAGGCAGATAAAAAAAAGGTGCCTCTGAATTTTTTGAGAATGTCATTAATCAGTTTTTTTCAGGATAAAATGAAAAATAAATTTTTTTTTATTCAAGTAAAGTTTTTTAAATTTAAGAGAACTTAAATATAAATTGCCCCTGGCCATTTTTGGCCCGAGGCAATTTAAGGATTATATTCACTGTATTGATTACTAATATTAAAATAGAAGTAAACTAATAACTCACATTTAAATACTAAAGTAATAATTGAAATTCACAAACAATGTATACTTAAACTAAATTATAAAGGTTTTTTTCATCAATTATTTATTAATTTATAAATAGAAATTTTGCTAGTTAAAATAAACTAAATATAAATCAAATATTTTACTTTAAGGAAATCTGTCTATTTTACCACTAAAAAAATAAAAATAATATATTAGTCTTTTTTAATAATAAATTAGGATGAGAAATAATAACAATATATAATAAATAACTGCCTATACTAACACAATAAATACATTTTTACAATATTATGCCTCATAACTTTATTTTTTAATTTCTATGACAATTAGAATATACAAGTTTTTATTTTTTAAATTTGAAGTTATAAAACAATTATTATTAAAAATGTTGCTAACATAAGGTAAGAGTATAGTTACTTACATATCACGATTTTCACAGTATATGTACTACATACTTTATCTCCTTGGATTATCTTAATATTAGATCTGTTATTAACAATTAAACTAGCTAGTTTTAAGTGTTTACTTGTCTCATTTTATCTTGATGATTATGACTTCCTTGTCTTCTAACTATTAGTTTTCATGGATATATTGAAGCACTGTAAAATTAATTAAATATTATATAATTATACTGGCTATATATTTTATATTTAATTTTACATAATATATATATTTATATTTAAATTTAACATAATAATGATTAACTTGATTGGATATTATCTATAGATCCGGCAATATAAAATAAGCAATTTTCTGACATTTTCAAATCACGCTAATTTCTTTTTTAGGCAAAGAAAGATATAATATTATTCCAAAAATTCATAAAATGCTTGTACAATTACTAAATTAAATTATTATGTAAATTTCATGAATGATAAAGTCTAATAAGCAAAACATCATAGCCACAACAATCTCAAATGTTATAATAAAGAAACAAATTTTCCATTTCTTCAAAATTTCCACCAATGAAAATGTTCAAAATAAAAATGATTAAATTTCATTATAAAGTAGTGAAAATACTTAACAGACATTTATGTGAACTAGCAGTTACATACTTTTACTATATGGTCAAATTTAACGAGCTTTTAGTAGTAGTAACAAAAGACTTCAGTTCTTGTGTTATAGCAGATGCATTATTTACATCAAAAATTTCTTTAATAATTTTTTGTAATTTAAATTTTTAATAAATTTAAGACTACATCATGTTAATATTCAGGTTAATTGTACTTGTTGCTTTTCTGGAATCCACCAATTAATAAGTTATGATCTATTTTCAAGATTCCTTTATTAGCTATTTCTTCCAGAGAATTTGAATTCCAATTTAACAACAGCAGTAGTTTTTTCGATTTCAAATATCTATTCATTTTGTAATCAACTTAGTAAGAATACAATTTTTGTCATAGATTTTAATTTGGGCTTGAAATAATTACAAATATAAGCATTAAACGGTCTTGGAAAATATCAAATTTTATTTAAAATTGGAATAACATTAACGGTTTGAAAAAAAGGGTTGTCAATTATTATTTTTTCAAAAAATTAATAAAAAAAGAAAAACGTTAACCGCTTAAAACCAAATATGGTTTTTTCAGTTACCAGTAACCAATAAAAATAGGTTAATAATAACAAAATTTTAAATAACTTATTTTCAAACACAAAAAAAAATCAGGAAAACTTTTCATATAATAATTTTTTATTACCCCTCTCTCTCTAAGTGTATCTTAAACTCCTAAATATTTACATTATAAGGAGTGACACAAAATTACTACTATTGTAGTAATATTTACAGTGCTACTATTAGGCTTTTGTTATAAAGATGTTTATATAAGAAAATCTTTCTCTACTATCTTTAATAAAAAAAAAAAAGTTGTACATTCATATTGTAATCAGTTTTTATTTAAAATCTTATGACTTTTTAATACTTAAAAATAGCATGACTAAAAACACATTTTGTGTTTTAATCACTTTATTAAAATCAATTTTTATTTTTGTATTTAACCTGTTGGTTTTAACAGCTTATCAGTTTTTGTTAAAAAATCCTATTCTCTAATGTGTTGATTGTTTAATACAGGTTAATAATTAAACAATTATTTGATTAGCATTAACAAGAAATTATAGTTAACTTTTTTAGACAAAAAATAATCCAGTAACCAATTTTTAATAATAAAGAAGGGTGTTTTAAACAGTTTTTAAGAAAAATTATCATTGCCAATGTTGCTTCTGATATTTGTAAGGCTTAATACTTGATTAATGCTTTAACGAGGCATAAAACAGATTTTGCTATAATTTTTAATTAATTCTGTGAAGAATTATAACCTTTAATGAGAATTTAAACATTTGTAAAATAAAAATTTCGACATAGACATAATTTATTTTCAAAGTTTTATTTTATAATACTTAATTTTAATTATATTTTTGGTGGTATACAGGAAAAATATTAAGTATCCAACATAAAAAAACATCAAAAAAGATTTAATTTAGTCATAATACTTTTACAACACATCAATAAATTAATTATATGATAAAACTAGTTTTAGAAATAACATTAGATTTCCTCTGTTAATGTAATACCTCAATTTTTTTTTAAGATTTCCTTTTATCATTGGCTAGAATGAATTATTTTAATATTTATAAATATGTGAAAATTTAAAAAATGTCCTATATTTACTCTAATTACTAATACTTTCAACTTACATTAAAAAAAAAAAATTTACTGAATTTAAATTTTTATAAAAGGATAATAAATAAAGTCAGGTAAATGTTTCTTTGAATAAGTTTTGACTACTAAATCATAAGGTATTACATTAGTAGATGGAAAACTTATCACTTATCATTATTATCATACAAAATATAATTACATCAAATATTTTTTTAAATGTCAAGATTTATAAAAAAAACAGCTATCTCTTTATAAATAAATTATACTGTACATTTTTATTAGATTATAGAAAAATAACTACAGATAATTTAATATTCATTATACACATAATTATATGCTATCCAAATTGTTGCTTGAATTTTTTTGATCCAACTTGTTACCATTAGTCTTTATTGTATAAATAAAGAATGTGAGAGCTTCTTTTTCATTCACTGATATTGTTTTGAAGTGATTTAGAAGAGCCTTCAAATAATTAGATAGTTTAATTCATATATTCAACTCTTAATTTATATGGTTATATATTCTTAATAACTAGAAATTAATCAAAAATGTAACACTTGATTATTTTATATTTACCTCTGCCATTTGAGCTTTGTTAAGACTAGGTTTAGTTACTACTTTAAAATGTTTTTTATATCTTCTTAAAGTATTCATTTGCAGTTGTGAAAAATCAACTTCAGGTGCATCATCTTGATTAGAAGGTTTTAATGATCTAGCACTTTGAATCATGTTTTTATGATAATCACAAATATAGATATGTCTGGCCTGTAAAATTTTTTTTTATATGATACAGTATAATTTTTTAATATAAACTGTCATGTAAACTTACTACTGCATCCAAATGTAATTTAAGTTGCCTAACAGTATTTCGTATTTTTTTACTGTAAGAAGCATTTCCAGCTTGTCGTTGGCATCTGAAACCATCTTCTTGTAAACAACAAAATTTATCATTAGGACCTCGTGAATCTTCTTCACCAGTACTAAAACCGTTTTGATTCATTTCCCTAAAATTAAAAATTTTAAACATGTATAAAAAATGTTTGGATATTTTAGAAAAAATATTTCTTATGTACATAAACAATTCAATTAAATATTGTAAATACATAATTATTCAATTACGTTTAATTAGATAAATGATTAATTTAAAATAATTCAAAACAAATAACACTTTAACAGTCTTTATTAGAAAACAAATGATACTTACAAAATTAATGAGGCTTAAATGTACAAGATAACTAAGGTTTAATTTTAAAATCGTATTACAAAAATGTTATCCTATCAGTTTCTCAACGGCATTTCTGTTGATAATGAAATAAAATAAAAACAATTTTTTGATAAGAATTTTTTCTCTAAAGAATTTATATTTTTTATTTATTATTTGTTGATTTTTAACGTAAATTAACCCAATGCTTCTGATAATAAATATGTTTAAACACAATTAGTGATAAGTTGATAAAGACAGGTTACTCAACGAAACGAATTTTGTAAAATCAAAGTGTCACCGACAATCTTTGTGGGAGTTATACATCTAGCGCTTCTAGCCATACCAATGAACATCCAGTTATCCGCTTGGTGCGGTACATATGATAATTTTTTAGTGACAGGGTTGTGTAATGAGCACTTCTCAATCTAATAAATCGAAATGAATAATCGGTCCATTTAATTATCGACCTAAATGAATCAATAATAATTATAATTATAATTTCAATATAATAGATAATTAGTAATATGTTACTAAATAACTCTGGTTATTAATGATTTTTAAAAAGTTTATATCCTTTTATAGGCGATTAAATAATATTCTTTTATAAGCAAGTGAAAATCCTAGTCTGTTTAGCAGAATATTTGTATATTAATTTGAATTATAAGTGTAACAACGATTTATTTGTATAATAATGAGTCATCTAACGTACAACGACGAATGAAACTAGTTTTTATGATTTTTACAATAGCAATTTTATTTATTTAAATTGATTTAAGTTAATTATCTTGTATATAATTTATTGACTTTTCAACAATTTTATTCTATATTGTTACGTAGTTTTATTACTATTTTATATTTATGGACATTTAAAAAGAATTTTAATTGAATATTTGTCTTGTGAGTGCTGGTGGTGGAGGTACGGCTTTAAATATAATACCGCTAGTTTTTTTTTTTTTTATATATTCTTTTATTTATGAAATTTACAATCTGCAAAAAAAAAAAATTTTACAATAAGTAAATAGTTTAGAAAATATACATATATAAAATACTTAACATTAGTAGCCTGTGAGGTCGCTCCCATTGGAGTCGCCTGCTATTGAAAATTTATATTTAGTTTTATTACATAATATTAACAATAATAATAATAATAATATATAATGGTATAGTAGTTTGTACAATAATTACGATTTTAATTACGTAATGTTAACAAGATTAAATCATTTATAAAGATAATAGGTCTCTGCATCATTCTCTCTTAAGACGCCTTACTGGATTGCCAGGCAAGGCGTTTGCGCTCAGCATTTGAATTAATCTGTTGGGGTTGGATTCAAGTTTCATCCAGAATCTTTTATAATATAATCTTGCCATTTCTTTAATTGTGTTGAGATGGAGGTCTGAATGTAGGGCCATGTTTGTGACGTACCAGGGCGCCCCGGTTATGATTCTTAAGCAGATGTTTTGGAAACTTTGGATTGTTCTCTGGTTAGAACTTTTTGCTGGTCCCCAAATTATTATGCCATAAGACCATAGTGGTTGGAGTAATGTTTTGTACAATATAATTTTATTTGACAAAGAAATATTTGACTTAAGCAAAGGTCTTAGTAAATGAAGTCTCGAGTTCAGTTTTTTCCTTTTTTCTTTTAAATGAGGACCCCAGGTTAACCTTCGGTCAAAAATTAACCCTAGGTATTTAATCTCGGTTGAATGAGGAATAATAATGTTATTAATAGTAACTAATGGGCAGTCATGTTTTTTAAGAGTGAATGTAATGAAAGAAGATTTTGACTCATTTATTTTGACACGCCAGGTCTTGAACCAGAGCGAAAGCATATTTAGATGTACTTGTAACTGTTGACTGGCAACTTTATGATCTAATGAAGATGATATTAAGGCCGTGTCATCAGCATAGGTACCAAGTACTGTTGTATCCGATAAAGGTAGATCAGATGTATATATTGTGTACAAGAATGGCGCAATATCGCTACCTTGAGGCACACCAGCATATATTGGGTATAATGGGGAGTGTTGGAGATTATGACGGACTTTAAAATAACGGTTTTGCAGGTATGATTTGAGTATGAGGTAATAAGGAGCTGGGAAAATGTTTTTTAATTTGAATAGAAGTCCTTCATGCCAAACAGAGTCAAAGGCTTTTGCCACATCTAGAAAGACTCCAGCACAGTATTGCTTTGTTTCTAGTGCTGTTGAAATTGTATCAGCAACACGGTGCAGTTGATGAATAGTTGAATGTTTTGCTCTAAATCCGAATTGAAATTCAGGAATGTTATTATTTTTTTGAGTGATAAATAAAAGACGTTTTAATATAATTTTTTTCTAATATTTTACCTAAGACAGGTAGAAGACTTATTGGTCTGTACGAGGAGGGATCTTCGGGAGGTTTTCCAGGTTTGAGAATTGCAACAACTACCGATGATTTCCAGGATGCTGGAAAATAAGATAATCTAAGAGCTGCGTTATAGATGTAAACTAACAAAATGACCAATTTCCTAGGAAGATTTTTTATTATTATATTGTTATTAGATCATTTCCAGGTGATTTTCCGTTCACAAGTTTTTTTATAACCGCTAGTTATAAGTATAAAAAATTGTCAAATTGAATGTAATAAAATAAAACACATATATTGCTCAGACACTGCTCATGTTTACTCGTATATACTGAGAGAAACAACTTTAATGTTAGCACACGACATATGTATTGTAACTATTTTACTATTTAAAAATTTGCATTTTTAATAAAACTGTAGAATTAAGAATGTACAATTAATTTTTTTCTTTTAATTAATTTTAGTAGGAGGTGCGATCGTCCCGTCGACCAAGCCACGAGCCGCCACTGATTAATTTTACCATGATGTATTTATTTTAGCTTCAATGTGAAGATGAAAAGGTATTACTTTTATTATGTGTTTTTTTTTTACTTTTTTTTTTTTTTGTGTCTGTGAACGTTTAATCTCAGCTCTCGCTGGACCGATTTTGATGAACAATACATCAAAAGATAACAAATCGTATCTAGTCGAAGACAAAATTGAAAAAAATTCCCTCATTCCCAGTAAACGGGGGAAATCCCTCAAAAAATTACAAATTTATAAATTTATTTATATATTTTTATTTTTTTTACTCAAACCTACCATAACTTTTTTAAAAATGACAAAATTGATATAATTTTTTTTTTATAGATACTTGAAGTATTTACCTATCATTTGATATATTTTTGTGAACATTTAACCCTTTCCAGCCCACAGGAAGGACTTTATTTTGTCTTCATGGTGAAAATGGCTACCATATACTATTTTTGTTTTAAAATTCTCGATTTTATATTTTGCATTTTTAACTTTATAATGCTATAAAGCTTTATAGCTTTTTAAAAAATATATAGATGAATACAATTTTTTTATGATAAATATTACTTATATAATTATTTCATTCGTCATACTTTTTTTTAAAATAAAACCATTTCCCTTTATATATTTATGTATTATGTATGTTTAACAAACAATTTTTTTTTTTAAGTACTGCATCAAGACCTTCAACTTTTATATACGTTTGCATTAAAAGTATTATCTACTTTATAATTTTTTCGTAAAAATTACAATTCTAAATTATTAAATACATATGTTACACTTATAAATAATAAAACTTATAACTTATAACTGATCATAATCAGGATATAAAAAAGGAAATAGGAGGTTATGTAGCTTTTGGAATAATCTATCAATTTTTAAAATTAATCCCTATCTACAGATTTGCATCGAAGTGTTTTTTATGATTTTAATCACTGTCAAATTAAATCTATACTAGACCCAACTATGCCATTTATTGAAATAATTATTGAAATAATAAGAATTTTATGATACGACCATGGTGATATAAGTAGTTGGTACGTTCAACGGATTATTCAAAAGTTTATTTAATTAATTCTTAAATGTATGCTTAAAAACCATTTAATTATTTTCGGACTACACAATTAACTAAAATATATTTTAGTAACTTATTATATTAAAAAATAAAGTGATAGAAATAAAAATTTTAGGTTATATAAACATTGTCTTTTAAACTCTTTTTACAGTCTTCACAAAACTTATGATAGCATTCATACTATTTATCTAATTATTTTTTTTTAATTTGTTAATTTTCTTAGTTTTCCATCTATGAATATTTATCAGCAATCAATGTTGTTTTATAATCATTGCATGAAAACTTAATAATATTTGAGTGTAATAGAAATTCCCTTTCAAATGATTAATATGTTTTGTAAAAAATTATTTTAGTTTTTAGTTTAAAATGTTTTAACTTACATTTACATTTTTTCGTAAAAAATTCTGATAATAATACTGCAACACCGAGACATAGTTTTTATTTTTAAATAAACTTTAATTTTAAAACAAATATTTTAATTATTTCTTATAGCTAAAGTTAAAACTCATTACGTCTAATTTTTTAACTATTAATACAAATTAAGTTAGTTTAAATTTATTTATTTTCATATATAGATAGTGTTATGAAATTTCAGGAAATTTAATGCAGAAGAAATTTTTATGATAAGTGGGAAATTTTTATTCAAGAGCTTTTTAATCTTAAAACATTTCATTAAATATTTTTGACTTCTTTACGCATAGATATAAAAAAGTTAAAAACTAAATCAAAGTCATAAACAGTATCTCACCAATAATCTATTGTTGTATATATACGATTAATTATTAAAATAATAATTAAATATTGTAAGTTATTGAATAGGGGGGAACAGGTGATTACCTTTAATATAAAAACTACATAATAACATTATTTAATAGTATTTTCTATTAAATAACAATAAATATAAAATTATGATGAAACTAGAATAAATTATGAGATTGTAAATATTTTCTAAAAGAAGTAGTTCTCATTCTTAATAAGTAGGCTTAATTTTGTCAATGGAATACATTTTAAGTAACTTTCATATAAATTCATAAAACATTATTAGTCAAAAATAAATATATTTTGTATGTTGTATTATTTTTTTTAATTTAATGCATATTTCAAGGATTTTTCATAATAAAATTCATACAATTTAAATCCGAACTAATTATGACTGACTATAAACATTATTACCAATAAACTATTTCCAAATCATCATAAAAACAATTTTATACATTTATTTTATTAAATTGTAGATTTCTATCCTAAAATATTTACTTTCACATTCTCCAGTAAATAATATATTTATTATGTAATCATTTTTAAAATATTAAGCACATACTTAATTGTATCTATACAACTCTACCCTCATAGTTTTTTTCATAAACGACGAAAGTTATTAGATACACCAAATTTTAATTACTCATTGCTCTAGCAACATTATACTACATTTCATACCATAATAAAAAAATATAAATTAATATTTTATCAAGAATGAATATTTTTCTTTAAAATATTTGCATAGAAACTCTTGGTCAAAAATATACTACTAACCAAAAGTAGTAATTTTATATTATTGAAAAACATGATTTCTATTAACATTTGATCCTTAATTATAGGTGAATGTAAATAAGAAATAGTTATTTAGTGTTATATTTATAAATACGTTTATTTATAATGTATCAATATAGACTTTAAAGAATGGTCCTCAAACACCAATTTTAATTCTGTCTATGCCCCCCCACCCTCATGAAAAAATTCCAAACACATGAAAAGGTAAATATCAAGGTACACAGTTTAATAAAAATATATAGTTTTACCTATGACAGCAAAATTTTATTGAGACAAAAGGACAAAAAAGTAACATTTAACGTTTTTTTTATGTTTATTAGAAACATTTACATATATATTTAAACAATGTTTTTTGTAGCATATATCTTAAATATTAAATTTATTATTTATTCAAAAATAGTTAAAATTCAGTGTTACATTACTTTGAACATTTGTTGTACCTTGAGTTTCTCTTTTTTTAATTTTACATAACTTATTTGTTTTCAAATCAAATAAGAAACGCTATATTTAATCATTTATTTTAATGAACTACTGCATAACATTTTTTTATGAATTTCAAAAATCATTAATTAGGAATTACATATTTAACTATATTATATTAACAATGCATTATACATCATTTTAACATAAAATAAATGTTTTCTTTAATAAATTAAAAAAACTGAGTATTAATATTAACAGTTTTTACTTGCTGAATACAAGTAGATAATTTATAATTATTATTTTTTGTCTAAATTTTACATTTAGTAAATTTCAGGTTTTCTGTTAGTCAATGGAAATATTTTTTTAATATATGGGGATTATCAAGTTATGGTTTATTCACCCTAAATAAAAAAAAAACACATTTTCTCATTATTTTATCAGTTCTAAGTGTGTTAATTTTACACATTATATAAATTATATAGTAAAATGATTTACATAAATACTAATTAAATAAAAAAATTTCTAGTTGGTAACAATGTATAAATAAAATATATATGATTAAAATGTTAAGTCCATATGCATTTTTAAATTAATTGGCACTTAAAAAATACTAATAAAAAAAATGTTTGAAAAACTTATATAAAAAAAGTATATAATAAAAGGTAATAAAACTTTTTAACAAAACAATATCACAGATTGCAAAATCTTTCTACATTAATCAATTATTTAAAATGATATTTTTATAAATATTTCAGAAATATTTCAGAAATATTAAAATTTCATTAAGGGTTCAATGTCCAATTAGTAGCATTAGAGTTAATATGTTCTATTATCCACTTTTGGTCATCATTATCTATTTGACAATGAGTTACATAAACTTTCCTAGTACTAATGTCACTTTCTAGACATCTATGATTAGTTCCATGAACAAGCATTTTTCTTATCTGTTACAACAAAGTAAACAATATCTTAATAAATTAAAATAATTATAGTGAAAAAAAAATTACATGATCATAACGCCAGAGCTGATTTCCTCCAGAGCTGTGACATTTATAAAATCCTACTTGTCCTCTAATTGATGGATCAGAAACATCCAAACACATATTATTTTTTTTCCTGATGTCTTTTCTCCAACTTAATAAAAACGTCTAAATTAAGTAAAGGTTAATTTTATTTTAATAAAATATTGTTTAAACATATATTAAGTAGAAAAATATAAAAAATATAGTTACTTGGTCATCATTATCACTACAATCTTTTAGTTTAAGTTTATCTTCAGATGTTGAATCCAAACAGAGTTCAGGAGCATTAAGACTTCTGATCTAAAATGATGAATAAACATAGAATTGGAGTTTGTCTTAGTTTAATAAAATAATTACATGAATTAAATTTTTTACTTATTCATTATAATAAAGGATAGTATGTGTTAAGTTATAAAAAAAATAAAATAATGTTGTTTTGATATTTAATGGTTGTGTGACTTTTTTAAAGATTTTTTATGGCAACCTTATAAATAAAAAAATTGTTGACTGAAATGATTTAATGTTTTCAAGTGAAAGTAATGCCACTTCCTAATAGGAAAGCTCTGGCTACTAATAATTACTTTTAATTATTTGAAAGACAAACAATATGAAAATACCTTGCCATGACCTATATTAGGTGGCTCTATAAATGGATATTTTTCAACCAAATCGAATGCAATTTCTTTAATGAACCATTTAAAAGATTTACATTTTAACTTCTCCCTTATTTTTTTTTGTTCTGTTAAATCTCCAGGATATATGTTCCTGTAATTTGGTTTCCGTTTATATATATACTCTCCATATTCATCCATCCATACTTCAACAACCCGTCGATAATTCTGAAAGTTAAACTATGAAATAATAAAAACATTTTGTGAATATTTACCTAATTTTAGTTTTAACATCATTGAATAAATTATTTTTTAGAGTCATATTAGTTTAATATTAGCTAAAATTTCAATCTTACTACTGTTATGAACTATAGCACAAGTCGTGCTGATCCAGCACATAGCTGAACACTCATCTTGTGCATATTTGAGTCAAATATTTTTAATAATAATTAGTCATAATTTTTCCGTTATATTATTAAGTGAATTACTTCTATTCAATTACTGTAATTATAATAAATCAATAAAAAAAGTAAATTAAGTACTAAATTTTATCTTATAACTTTTTCACTAAGATAAGAATTAAACAATAATATTTTAGTTTAATAACGTGAAAAAATTAAATAACAGTACATCAGATGACTCGACACTACTCGCATATGGTATGACTATCTCAAAGAATCTGTGACATCGAAATAAAACGAGGTCACAACACCATCATAAAAAATACTTTTTGTTATAATTTTTTCAATTCACACACAAAACGTTAATAATAATAATATTTTGAGATACAAACACTGACATGTAGAGGAAAATAATGAGAATATTTCTCTAAAATACTCAAAGAAATATAAAGGTCAGATCCTCAAGGCGAAAATTATGAAAACATCTTCTTTTTCCTCGCCTTTATCCCAACTACTACATCATCTACACTCACATCAGCAGTCCTCATATCGCATTTAATTACATCCCTCCATCTCTTTTTTGGTCTTCCTCTACCTCTTCTTCCTTCAACATTCATTTCTATAACTGTTCTTACCACTTCCGATTCCTTTCTCCTCATAGCATGACCAAACCATCCAAGTCTATTTTCTCTCATCTTATCTACGATTATCGTTACATCTAACACCCTCTTATATGCTTATTTCTTATCCTATCTTCTCTAGTCACTCCACTCATCCATCTAAGCATTCTCATCTCTGCTACACTCATTCTATATTCTACTTTCTTGTCAACTGCCCAACACTCTGAACCATCCATCATAGCTGATCTCACTACAGTTTTGTAGAATTTAACTTTCAGCCTCATTATAATTCTTTTATCGCATATGACGCCAGACACTTCTTTCCACTTCAACCTCCCGCACTTAATTCTGTGTCTTACATCCTCGTCAATACCACCGCTTTTTTGCACAACTGACCCTAAATACTTCAAACTCTCCACCTCTCCAATCATGTCCTCGCCTATTGTCACTGATTTCCTCATTTCACCTACCTAGTTTTCTCCTTTGTCAAACTCGTACTTTATATACTTTGTCTTACTCCTACTTATTCTTAAACCCTTTTTTCAAGAGCTGATCTCCATACCTCTAGCCTTTAATTAATTTCCTCCCTATTTTCTCCTATTAACACTATATAGTCACCAAACAACATGTACCAGGCACCTCTCCTTGTATTTATCTAAATTATTTTTCTTCTGAAAATTATGAAAACATAAAGATTAAAATTGTTTTTTGATTGGATGGGATGTGAAAAATTTATTTATGTTTACTTTAGTACAAGACCATATTTACAATCCCTATTGGCAGAAAGAGAATAAAATTTTTGGGGGGATTATTGATACATCAGACTATTCATTCTGATATACTAAAAATACTATCATTATTCGTTTAAAAAAATATTTATATTGCTTTACTTTGCCAATAAAATCTCCAATTCCAGGGTTTGGAAATGGTGCAAACTTTCTATAAATATGCCCTACTCTGGAACACGGAGCATCAACTATCATGCCACCACACTGCCATATTTTAAATGACAACTCATACTGTTCTCCCCCCCAAATATCTAAACCTGGGTCATATCCTCCAAGTTCCCAAAACCAACGAGCACTGATTGCAAATAATCCACCAGCCATTACAGGACTCCTATATATAAAAAAAAAAAATTAAGATTTTAGTAAATTATGATAGTAATAATAATAATATAAAACTATGTTAAAAAATTCTTATACATCTTATAACTATATTATTAAAACTTAACATAATAAATACTGACATTTATACTTCAACAAAACGTATCTCAGTTATTTCAGGTTTTCAGTATGGTTAAAAAACAAATTTGTATTACACATGTTTTAATGCAAGAGGTGATTTAATTTTTACAACATAAAATATAACTATAAGTCTTTAAAAAATAATATATAATAAAAAATGTCCAGAAACACTTATTATATCATTATTAATAAAAATATCATTTATCAATTAAAATTTATCAAACATTGAGTTTGAAATATGCTCTATTGCAGTACAAGTCATTATATAATGGTTATTAAATTTTTATCTAACCAATTCATATAATGTTATAAGAAATGTTACAAATATTAAATCATTCATAAAAAACAGTTAAATATTCATAAAATGGGCTTGAAACTATTACAAAAAAATAATTTTTCGAACCCAGTAAAAAGAAATTTTACTTATAGTTGGAACCGATTTTGTAAAAAAAGGTTGTCAATTACGGTTTTTTTAAAAATTAAGAAAAAAAAAGTCAACTTCTTAAAACCAAATATAGTTGTTTTTTAGTTACCATTAACCAGCAAAATAAGTTAGTAATAAAATAATTTACTTAGCACGGGGGGACGTGACACAGTGGAGATGTAGCAACATTAGAACAAGTATATATGATATCTGACAGTGATTATAATCACTATCATAAAAAATGCTTCAATATAAATTTGTAGATGGTATATAATTATGAAAAGAAATTGTTGAGTTATTCCCAAAGCAACATCAAATTATATTTCCTATATCTATCTATATTTTTTAGATTATAAAATTTATATTACCGAAATGGTTTAGTAGGATTTAATAAGTCATCCGGCAATAAGGGTAATCTTTTATAAAAAAATTCCCAATCAAAAGCCCCTCTAGCTCCTTCATCTTGAGCCCTATATTCAAATGTTTCATAATCAATTACATCTATGAAAGGACAAACACAAGTACGGTAATCTTCCGTAATAGGTTCTAAAATAAATATAGTATGATTATTAAAAAAGATTTATAATATAAAGCAAACTTTTCAAATAAATTATAGACTATATTAACCTAATAATGGTGGTAGCCAGTTAACATTAGCTTCTGTATGCGAGTCCAAAAATATTAATACTTCATTAGTGGCTATTTTAGCACCAGCTAAACGAGCTCTAATAAGACCTTCTCTCTTTTTTAAATGTATGACTTGCACTTTTTCTTTAAAATTAATTGATACAAATTCATCCAATGGGCCTTTGCAGTGAACTAAATTGTATTAGAAATAGTAATATTTAAATATATTTATTCACTAAATTGTTTATAATGTTAAAACCTTTAGTACTAAAATCGTCAACTAATATAATTTCTCCAAGTAGGCTTTTAGGTGAGCGATTAAGTACACTATACACAGTTCTCAGCAATACAGAAAAATGTTCATTATGAAATGGTACAATCACACTAACAGTAGGTAGTTTATATCTATATTTTTTTGACTTGCATCTGAAATATAATATACAACAGTTAAGCTTTTTTATAATGATGATTAAAAATAAGGATTCAACTATAAAATACATACAACTCATGTCGTATATCTGGAATTGAACGATTTAGAGATATGCTATCACTTAATAAAGCATTGAACCCATTTACCTTATATAAAGTGTCATACTTTGTTTTTGCCTCGGAAAGAGAAATTTTAGCCCTTGCACCATGCTCACCAATACCTCCAAAAAATTTTAATATTTAAAATAAACAGTTTTAAAATGTAGAGGGTTAATTATCTTTAATTGTTACTATAAATAAATTTTAAAATGCAATAATACCAGTTCTTAGTTTTTCCAAATGAATTTGGTGCCAATCATGCCAATCAATTTTAATGGGCAAAAATTCTATTTGACTTTTATTATCTGCAAGAGCTGAAGTTAAAGTAGTATATGGGCTAAGGCTTTCATTTGTCCATTTAAAAAATTTAAAAACGCTAACCAGAACTAAAATTGTTGGAAATAAAAATAGAAATAACTTCATTAAACTTTTAAAATTCCTTTTCATGTTGGCTAAAAATAAAATTAAGATAATAAGAGAATTATTTATTAATATTTAATACATCTCATAAAGTAAACATTACCATGTAATTATTTATTTTGTTTGCTTATAAACATAGTTGCTATGACAATAAATTAATGTAAATAAGGTTAAGTTTGAGCTTTAATAATAATTTTAAACATGTATACAATTTGAATGTATTACATTTTCAACACCATCTCTTTGTGAAAACTATTTGGTCTAATTTTTGAGATTACCAGCGCCTACGCAAATAAATAATGATTGCATGACTTATATAAATTAATAAATAATAAATATAATAACATCAATTGTTAAAAATATATAACTTATATGACATATAATGTATCTCTTTTTGAGTAACATTTATACAATTATAAATCAAATATATGAAAAAATAATAAAGTATTTTCCAAAATACTGTTTTTATATTTGTAATTCATATTTGAAATACAAAATGTTATCATTTTCATATAGTAATCGGGGAAGGAGCCAAATGATAAGTATATCGTATGCACGAATTAAAATAAAGATTATATTTATCTGTGATTATACACAGACATGAAATTATAATTCTTATCAAAAGTTTTCTGAATAAATACATTAAAATGTATTATAACTAGTGATGGGCATAATCGAATGATTTCGATAATCGAATGATTAGTAATCGAGACATTTTCATAATCGAGTGAATCTCTCGAAAAATCACTCGAAGTTAAAATCGTCTGCTCGTATGATAAGAATAATCAACTATTATTATTTATCGAGAGAATCGAAAAATTATTCGAAATATGAATAAATATACCTATAGTAAATAATTATTAATTTAATTTTGCTTTTTTTATTTGTTGGTGTTTATTTATAATTAATATATTAAACTATAATTTAGGAATAATAATAACAATAATGCATTATTAATAAGTGCTTTAAATAAAAGACAAGTTGTTATTTTTTTTATTTAATAATTATTACCTATATTTAAAAAAAACCGATAACAAATTTAAAAATAAAAACATAAGATAAGGTAGCAATAGCCTGCTTGACCATCATAATTAAAACACCTAATTCCACACCTAATTGATTTTTCATAAATTCACAACTAGTGAGAGAATCAGAACTCAGTAGTTTAGCCAGTTCAGGACAAAACTTTGTTCTAATCGTCACATACTTCCCAAAAATGTGACAGATAAGGTGTTGCCATGAGTAGCGATTGAACGAGTTGAAAATAAGACTCGAAGTCAACAATTTAATAATAATTCGACTATAATTTATGCTAAATAAAAACTTAAAAATAGTATTCTCTCGTTTCATCGTTTCATGGACATCATTCGAAATAACTTTTATTCGATTATATACATTTCAAGATCAAGAAATCATTGTTTTTATAATAAACGAGAAATCATTAGAAATAATCACTCGATTATAGAATAATCAATATTATTCTAATATTATTTATTAAAAAAATCAGAATATCTCGATTATATAATTGATATGATTTCAATAATCGAAATATCTCGATTATTTTCATAATCGAAATATCTCGATTATTTTCATAATCGAGATATCTCGATTATATATCTCGATTATGCCCATCACTAATTATAACGGTTTGGTTGAGTTTGATCGTCTTAACTGTAAGACTACCAATAGTACTAGTACATCTCTTTAATTTTTACTAAACTTCTTGAATTCAACGTAAACACTTCCTCTTCTTTTAACGTTAATTTCCATAAATGTTCTTACAGCTTACAATTTGTATCCTCACAATATAACCAAACCATCTAAGAATATTTTATATTATCTTATCTATGATTAACGCTACACCTATACATCTGTGGTGTTATGGCAGAAGTTGATATATACATTTTTGGAACTTTTGGAAAAACGAGTTTAAAGGTTTAGAATAGAATTAAAAATACAATTTTTAAAGAAATGCATTCATTCTTTTAGGATTATAATCATTGACTTCTTATAATTAGGCCATAATACACTAATTAGATTTTAAAAGGTTTTATATTATAATATATGGTATAACATATAATGTTTTGCATTCATGTATTTCTTTTTAATTATAAACATATCAACGACATAAAAACTCTTAAAGTACCTAACTTTGGAGTAAACTTTTTTTTTAAGTGTCACTAAATTAAACAAAAAAAGCTCCCTTTATAAAAGTTAACAACATTGTTAGTGTTGTTAGTAAAGTATAAAAACTAAAAATAAAACAACTTTATGATAAATAATTTATATTTTTAATTATTCATCTGATGAAGAATCACTACTTGTTAAAGTAAGTTCAGCTGCATTTTTGGATGTTTTTAATTTTTGGTAGAATGAATGACAGTCTTCGTGTATCAACGGTAATAAACTTAACAAATCTTTTTTTTTTCGGGTGAATTGGTATAGGACCCGCATAACAGTTAGTTAATTCTGTTGAATATGATGATAAATTTTTTGGACTTCCTTTATTACCATGCCTAAGGTCTAATATTCTAAATGGTTTTTCTGAATTGAGGCTATACTTTAACTTTAGCATACCATACATTTTTTCATAACGAATCCACCTTATATGAAACCAATTTACTTTATTTCCTTTAGTATCAAATGTTTTCTTTGTAAGTGAAGTGCTTACTAAATTTGAAAATGAAAAATACTGTTCTTGATTCATTTCAATCACTTTGAATGGCTTCTGCCCTCGTACTGTCCTTACAAATTGATACCAATCTCTTAGTACCATTATAAGAATGTCCGATAATTTCTTTGCTCTCTCTATTTTTGCATGGTCTACATCACACTTCAAGTGATTGTGACCTGGCAATACAAATTTTTGGTGAACTATTTGCAATGTTGAAGACTTGGCAGTTAGTAGATTCAACATTGCAGCCATATTGATATTCCAGTTTTGCCTCCCATAAGTGTCAGAGTATGTGATGACATGGGTTACATTAATGGGCAATTTTGTAATTTTTTGGTACAGGCAAGATGCTATTTCATTTGACCTTCTGCCGCCGATTGCTCATGCCACATGTAACATTCAGTTCCTCCTTTTTCACCACAATCTCTAATGGTCAAATTAAATGTTGACAAAAGCCTTTTGTAAAATGAAACATTTGCAGAGAGAGCAGGAGTATCTAAAACTTATTTTAATCAAATACTAAGACTAATACTGGAAGAAACTAAACCTTTAATTTTATCTTCCTTTTTTTGCAAGTACCCAAAATCTGCAAGATCTTTATGGTTTTCATATAGTTGCTGGAGTACTTTCTGTTGTTCATTATCCTTAAATTGTTTTATTTGTAATCTTAAAGTATCACATGTTTTATATGTATCAAGATAAGGTTTTTTAAATTTATAACCAGTTTTATTAAAAACATCTTTGAACAAGTCATATGATCTACATTTGTTGCCATTTTTCTCTTTTTTATATTCTTTTAAATGACATTGTAGGTTTATAAAAAATAATAAACATTATTAGTAAAAAAATGTGATAATATAGACTATTAATATAACAAAAATCTAATAATGACATATCAAGTTTTGCCATCACATATGTTATTCAAAAAATGATTTATCAATTTTATCCAAGACATATCGAGTTTTCCCATCATGATATTATCAAATAATGACATATCAGTTTTGGTCTTTGCACATAAATGGCGCTATATTTCATGAAAGACTTATCATATTTTGCCAGTCCATGAAACATATGATTTTTCAATTAAATACATGATAATCCGAAAACCACCAAAAATGACAAATCAACTTCTGCCATCACACCACAGACATGTTCTTACATATTCATTCCTTATCGTATCTTTTCTTGTCACTACACCCATCCATCTAAGTATTCTCATCTACTCTTCACTTTCTTGTCAATCATTCAACACACTGACCCATACATTATAATTGGTTATACTACAGTTTTATAGAACTTACGCCCAATTAAAAATCTTTCTGGGCACTCTGTAATTCGCCTTCTACAAATCTTTGAACATCATACAAAACTTTTTCTTCTTCTACTTAAACTTTCTATTAGCTGTCTCATACAAAATATTGAATAAACCTAAAATTATTATTAATTATCGATATCCGTTTTCTTATTTTCTTACATATTATTTTTTCTCAAAATTTCATACTATGATTCGTAAGCAGTCTTGAAAATAGATAAGCAAAAATTCATATAGTTTAGATGGAAATAAACGAAAAAAATCATCTAGTTGAGATAAAGATATTTGAGGATAAAATAATCTAAGTGAAAGATAAAATAATTTGTCTTTTATCTAGATAAATGTAGATAAATTCCTTATTTTTATTTATTTTCTTAACGTTTTCTTTTCCTCTCAATTTTACTAAATGATTTTACCTTTTGTTGCCTACAATATAAAGAAAAATTTCGATCCCAATATATGTTACTGAAACATTTTAAAACGTCACTATTAACAAATTACACGCTGTTTTTATTAAAGTTAAATAAAATAGAAAATATTACTCTACCTTTATTTACAGTATGATTTATTATGAATACAATTATACAATTGTTAGTTAAATAATGATTTGGTTATCGACTAGTATACATTTAGATCATTATTTTACATTTAATAGTAAAAAAAATCCAGTACAGTATGGACGTGGTATAGTTCGCACAAATATAGATAATATCTGACAGTATTTAATATCACTATCATAAAAAAGGCTTCAATGCAAATCTTTAGATAGTGTTTTATTTTTAGAAAAAGCTATGATTATTTCAAAAGCATCAACAACTTTAATTTCCTTAATAATCCCCTGATTAATATTTTTATGATTTATAAGTATAATACATTAATAAATATATTTATTAGTGTATACATATAGAAATTAAATTTAGTATGAAATTGATATTCAATAAATACTTAATATTTAAGTTGAGGCTTATGGTAGGATAAAAAAAAACGGTAGCACAGTGGTTTCGCTGAACAGTATGGACGTGTTATAGTTGGGACAAGTATTGATAATATCTGACAGAGCTCTACTTTTTATATGCATTTTTTAATTTTAAACTATATAAAGGGTAATGGTCCGATTTAAAAAAAAGAGTAACTCATATAAAAGAAAAATATAAATTGTACTTATCTTAAACAAATTGTAATGATCCATACATCATTCAAAAAGTTATAGCATTATAAAATTAAAAAAAACCATTAAAGGGGGGTCGTGGCTTAGTGGTGACGTGACATAGTTGGATGATATCTGACAGTGATTAAAATCACTATCATAAAAAAAACTTCGATGGAAATATTTAGACAGTGTTTAATTTAAAAAAATTGGTTGATTATTCCAAAAGCTACATGATCTGCTATTTCCTTAATAATATTCTGATTAAGATAAAGTTTGTCGAATGAAAAAGGAATTATTAAAAAATATTATTTCTCATAAAAAAATTTTGTTGATCTATACACTTTTCAATAAGTTAGAGCATTATAAAGTTAAAAATGTAACAAATAAAATCGAGAATTTTCACACAAAAATAGTATTCGGTAGCAATTTTCACCGTGAAAAAAAATAAAGTCCGAATTTTTTTTTTTTTCATAATAAAGTACATTATTAGCTTTAATTTAAGATATATATAAAAGTGTCAGAGTTTCCGGAACACTTTCAAAAGTTAAGTTAATTTTTTGTGAAAAAGTTATCATTTTGAATCCCCTCCTGTGGGCAGGTGAAGGGTCAAATTTATAAAAAAAATAGATCAAATATAAAAAAAAAAAAAAAAAAACACATTATAGTAAAATTAATATCTTCTCAGCTTTAAATCGAAGCTAAAAAACTAAAACGAACATTTTTATATTTCTTTAGCATTATCAAAGGAACGCCTCTATGGCTCACTAAATATTATAAATAAAAATGAGACATATAAAACATTTTAATAACCCTTTCAATTTTTACCTACAACACATGATAATTTTTTCGTCTAATCCTTATTATACCCTTAAATATAACTTATAAATATTACACAAAAGTGAAGTCTCACACACATTTTACTCGCACTCCACCACTGATTAACCTACAAATTATAAAATTCGTTTTAAATAGTTTATGGTTTTTTATATGTACAAATTTTATATGTTGGCAGTATTCAGAGAAATATACTTAAAATAAATTTAGATTTAGTGTTTTCCTGAGCATCACCGATTTTAATAATAATAAAAAATACTTACAATAGTTTAAAAAAATTGATTTTGTTTGTTATATACAATTGTAATGTATTCATCACGTAATGGAAAGATGGGAAAAACATTCAACAAGATTTTTAAAATGATTCTTAGGTCTTGTTTATTTTACAAATGTTATGAAAGACGTAAAAACATGTTTATCGAAAGAATAAAATTGATGTATTGAAGATTCATTTTTTGAACTTAAAATTATTATTTATATTAAGATATTAGTATATGTATAGATCGCACATTTATCGTTTTAGAATTACTACTCGGGTATATTTTTATAACAGAATAATTTTTAGATTACTAATGACCCTAGTTTTTTCTTTAATAAAAAAAACTAGACAAATATCAAATAACTAGTTTGAAAGTAGCCAAACTAGTTTGTTAAAAATGTATAGGTAGACTAGGAGTTGAGTTATTGTTAAGAATTAAGCATACATATCCTTATTATTTTTATTTACTATGAGTTAGAATTTAGCCATTTAAAAGAAACCAAATTGAATGTTGGAATGCTTAAATGTTTCATGGTTTCACAAGATATCTACCAATTATGTTAGTCATGGGAGATACATACTCTGGAGGACTGATGATCAATAGATCAAATAAAAGCTTTTAAATCAAAATGTGTTCCCTAAATTAAAATGCTGTTCACAAATTTTTAATGCGTGTATTTATTACTTATTATTTTAATATAATTATTAATTTTAAGAGGTGACTAAACAAATTTTTTTTTATTTAAAACCATATTATTACTTGTAAAAATATTTGTTGTCAATAATTTTGTAAAATTACTAAAAAATAAAGTTAATAAGTTAAAAAAATTATTATATGCCGACTATGACTATAAAAAAATCTTATGGTAGACTGAAGTATAAGAGATAAATTATTCCCTAGCTCCTTTTATATTTTCATTTGCATCTATAACACCATTAACAGATTTATTATGAACTACTTAATCATTAATTTGAGTAAAAATTTAGGACATAGATTAATTATTTTTAATTGGGGTGTAAAACTTTCACCAAATTTTTTCTGTTTCTGATAAGATAATATTCTTCTTGATGATAAGATTTTAACAAATTTTTCTGATAGCGACCCATTGTTTATCATCTCATAATTAAAAAAAATGTAAGATTTTCTTTTACTATATAGTCGATACAAGCTCCTCTAATTATTTTTCTCATAATATGTTATTGAAGGCTAAATTGTTAATAAATAGAGGTTTAAAATTTTGTTTTTTATTTTAACTTGTTATTAGTTTTAACTAAAGTAATATTTAAAATTAATGTTGGCAACCGTGTTGTACCGTGTGCATGCTTCACGCCATAGGTCAGTAAACTAAGGTAAAGACTTAGGGCTGAAATAAATTTTATTAAGTATTTTAATTCATGTCTAGTAATTTTTAAAGTCCACATAGATTATAAAATACTTTTTTAATTTTATACCATGAAATGAAATTGTGTAAGTATTATATTGATATAATTGTATTAAAAGTAAATATTTAAATCTTGACCTCTCTTACTAAAAAGATTGTAATTATAGATTAAACTAATTTCTTTAAATTTTTTTCTTAGAGATTAACTTACAATATGCAAGTAATGATATTGATTTTTTCCTGAATGTTGCTGCTGTTTCTACCATGCAAAGCCTGCCGGCTGCTAACGAAGAAGATGCAAGAGTTTGTATTCTGTTATCAGTATTAATAATGTTTTAAAATTCTAATTTATTGTTTCCATAGATATTGTTACATCTTGGCCGATCATATTTGCACAATAAAAGTCTAGAGTGTTCTGAAGACGAAGAAGAAGAGGAAGAAGAAAGTGAAAATAAAGAGGAGGGGGAGGAAGAAGATATTAGAGATAAAGTTAAAACTGGAACAGAAAAATTAAAGCAGAAAAATTTGTTACAAAAATTATATTTATCTCATAGTCAAAAATTGTGTGCTTTTGCAGATTCCTTACATTGGCCAGAAAATGTAAGAATAATTAATTAAAATAATTATTACATTTTTTAATGAATATTTTGATTTTAGCAACTTTCTCCATCAAGCTTATTGGATACATTATTTGATAAACCATCCGAAGAACAGTTAAATGTTTTAATTATTACATTATTTTCAGTGGATATTGGTTTTTCTATCAAAATGTCTATTGATATTAATGATAAACCTATTGAAACATATTTTAATTATGAAGAAGATTCTATTTTAGATTATGTTAAAAATGAAGAACTACCTCCTCATTTATTAGATATAATAGAAAAAGCTAATCCATCACTTTTTTACTGTGGATGTATTATAGCAGAAATTCAAGATAAAAAATGTGAAGAGGTGAAAGTATACCGTAGTCTTTTGCGTCCATCCAATTTAGTAAGCTAATTTGATATAAATGCATTTTACCACCTCATCGAGATTTTCTCAATATTTTTTTTTTAATTGATTTAATTTTGCATTCTGATTAAGAATATATAAAATATTTTGTTGGCAAAGCATGGTTAAAAAGTTATAAACATTCAAAATTTTCTATTTTCATGCTTCATTTCTATTCTGTACAGATATTATTTTTTGATAGTTTTCTTTAATTCTCTTATAAGAATAATCTTTTATGATATAGTCACCAATTTGTATTAAATTTGTCTGTTTCAAAAAAGTTACTTAAATTAGTTTCACTTTACGCTACATATTTCAAACTATCGCTGAGTCTGTAAAATTTACCTATGAAGTGCCAGTTATATCAGGTTCAATCCTTACTCAAATTATAAACTTTTGTATTTTTGTATATGTATAAAGTAGTAGTTAATTAAATAACTACCATATCTCTTTTTGGTTAATATATTATCATGAAAGTGTACCATAATATAGTCTTGTCACCTTAAATTTAATATTGCTATATTCATCAATGCAACTATTTAATTTTACAATGTATCAATATGTTTTAGTGTTGCATTATTGTGTTTTAACATTACATACTCTTGCATTTTAACATTTTAATGCTGTACCATTGAATTTTAACAATACATCAATGTCGCATTGCAATTTAATTAATTTAAATCTTAATTAATTAAAATTAATTTGCTTTCTTGGTATTACATAATGGTTATATCATCTTAATCTAAAAATTCTATGAAAACCCTCTTTTTTTGTATTGTGTAGTTTTAGTTAAAAATATCATGTGTTAAAAAAACAATATTTTTGGTTTCATGGTTTTTTTGGTTGAGGTGTATTATATCATATTTATGTTATTGTAATTATTGTCATGACAAAAAAACACTATTTTTTTAGGTATTTTTTGTTTGCTGACAGATGAACTTTGAATAGCTGTAACTTTTAAACAAATAATTACTAAAAAAAATTTTTAAACACTTAAAAAAAAAAATTTAAAAAGCTAGATGGGGTTAGTAAAATGCATTTGTTCCGCTATTTTTATTACAACTAAAGTGTTGCTATATTGAAATAAATTAAATCTATAACAGTTATTAATTATGAAGTTAATATATTTTCTTATCATTTATTTTAATAGTCAGTTATGAATGATGTAAATCAATTATTGATCCAGAATAAAACTGACAATTGGTCATATGAAAAGAAATTAAAGCTTGAAAGTTTATTAATATTGGCATCTCATCCAGAATTATGTATGGATTCATCACCTAGTACTGGTCTAGCAGTTAAGATGCAATTGAACACATCAGGATCAAAAATTTATGAGTTGAACCCATTAAAAATTAATAGAACACCAAATAATTTAGGAGTATCAAATTCTATTAGAAATACATATCATAAATTTTCAGAGCTACTTTATAAAAAAGAAAAAAGTAGTTTAATGGTTAGTATCTCTTATTTTATTTTAATTTATCTATTTTTATTCTATTTATGAAGACTCATTTTTATCATGAATCTGTAATTCTTATTCTTTATTTATTTATATTTTACTACTACGAAAATTTAGTATTAATATAACTAATTAACAACTGAAAATATTTACTGTTTAAAATGATAGTCCATTTATCAAGTGAAGTTTTTTTACTACAAATTTATAAAATTTCAGATAATAAAAAATAATAAATTCAGTTTTTTTTTTACAGAAAATAATAAACTGTGATGAAAGTATAGGTGCAATTTATTATTTGATGTGGGAGTTTGATTTTCGCCAAGAATCTATTAAAATAATTAATTTATCTGTTTTGTTACTTAAAAATACTCAAGAATATTCTATTTTGTTAAAAATGAACTCAATAGTTCATGCAGTTTTAAGGTAAGTACTATAAATTAAAAAATATTTGTTTTTATTAGTTAACCAAATTTATATGAATACAGAATGAATTATCATGAGTTATGGTTTTAATTAAGCCTATTGCCTCAGTTTGAATGATTTATTTTTGAAGTTTAATTGTTAATAATGTGTACAAAATTTAATCATTTATTTACTTTTTAGGTTTAAAATAAATCTTAAAACCAATAATTTAAAATCGTACATTGATACTATTCTGTTAGTATTAAATCAGAAAATAGATTCTAAAGTATCACTTGTTCGGACATTTAAAAGTGGTATAGAACCTCGCTTTGTGAAATTATCTTGTAACTTATATAATGATAATTTATATGAACCCAATCAAAGAGATATTAGTGAGGTAATTAAATTTATATTTTATAACTTTAATAAGATTTAATGTTTCATATGTCACTGAATATAATTGAAAAAACTTAAATAATTTAAGAAATAACAGTAAAAAAAATCAACTTTATATAATAAAGTTTTAATTTTTTTCTCGAAAATGTAATTTTAATATTGTATATTTTATATAAACTTTGTTAAACAATGTAAAAAAAATGTTTTCAATATAAAATTTAAAAAAATATATGAACAAAATTTATAAGTCCTGAAATTGTTAGATAATTATATATTTTATTGTTATGATTATGTCTTTTTATATTAATATTATTTAAATATTGCCTTCTTTAAATTTATTTATATTTCAATATTAAAATTTGTTTCAGCTACTAGATAATTTACTAAATAATAAATCAAAATTGGTTCAAAATAATTCTCCATCTGAAACTGAGAACTCTTTTTTGAATTTATCAATTGGTTCTTCAGAAATCAAATTAAATTCAATAAAATGTAATAATTCATTAGTTAGAAAAAGTGCTTGGTTGATGGATAATCAATACTTAGATGGTAGTATGAAATCAGAACCTCATAAGTTATATGTGAGTAAATTACAAATTAATAAATACCCCTATCTAAAATTTTTAGTCTTAGTTTTTTTTACATAGATTTCTTATTTAAATTTATTTTTAGGTGAAACGTAAAAAAAATATTCATTTTTATAGTACTGATAAGTTAACAGACAATTCAAATCAATATTATAAAGGTAGTGTATGTTTCTTTAATTACAAATATCTTAAATCTCGTTTAAAAGGCGTATACTATTTAAAATCATAAAATATGTTTTTGGTATCAAAATTTTAGAAAAAGTTATAATTATAAATTGGTAGAAAGGCGTGTAAAAATGTTTTAAAATAACAATAGATTTAGTGTAGTGCCATCTCGTAAACTCGGCAACTCGGCATATTGCCAATGCACTTATAAATTATATAATTTTTTTATTGAAATATATAGAAGATAAGTTGATAAAACATTTTTTTTAATTTAAATGACAGTGCATATGCTGTAGTTCAATCTCTTAAGAGGAATCAAGATTTTTAAAATGTTATCATGAAAGAAACAAAATTTAGATATGATCTATAGCTATATTCAAACTTCAATTTTACTTATTTTATTTATCGGATTTTCAAAATATTATGTCAAAAGTAAGGTAGTTGTCTTGAGTATAATGTATAAAAATTTTATATTGACCTATGCATTTAAAATTCATTTAATCAAAATCGGTCAATCAGATTTTGATGTTTTAGAACATCAAAATTGGCTATTTTTCACAATTATCATTTTTTGGGATACTCAATTTAAAAAAAAATATATATAGAGAGAGATTTTTTTTAGGTAGGTTTATTGAGATCATTTGATAAATTAATTGTTAATATTAGTTCATTAAGAGTTGAGTATTAATGAGTTAGACACAATAAAAAAAACATCTTAATAAAATTAATATCTTCATAGTTTTTATCTGAAGTTAAAATTTAATTTTTGTCATTAGTTACATAACCATAAATTTATGGTTATATTATTTTTAAAGATAGAGGAGGGAAACATTTTTAGATATTCAACATTAAAAACCTAGCATAATATTTAAAATGTATGATTAAACATTTTTCGAGGGGATCCATTAAGCCTTTTTGGATACTCATATACAGAAATAAGTCTATACTCGAACTTCAAAATATGTAAGAGTAGAGGTTCTACCACATCTTGCAGTTAATAGGTTTGCCAGAGCCTCGCAAAACCTAATGATGGAAATGATTTTTGTACTATTTTTTAGAAAATAGAAAAATCTATATTTAATATTTACACAATAGTATACCACTAAATATGACAATGACTAAAATTGTAAAAACTCAAAGCTTATGATAATATTATTTGAGAGAAGAATGTTGGAAAACTATGCCTCAATAGACGTACAACTTTTCATATTAAAAATATTTTTGAAAACACAAAAAATTTTTTTTTGAAAATTGAATATTTATCTTTTTTTAATAACTTAGAAAAAGAGAAATTTGGTGTTCCTCCTTTGAATGAGACAGTGCTATTATGTTAACAAAGTATTTTTAAATGAATCATCTACTTACAAAAATATGTATGTCTAAAACAAGCAAACAACCAGTATTTTATAGTATTTTTGATGGGGTTTTAAAAAAATTTACCCTCTCCATGCTAGTCTATCAAGTTTGATTGTGTAACTGTAATGTTTTTTTTATTTTTTATAAAGACAAGATTTGTTATAGCCAGTCATAGGGAGTGGGTTAAGTACAGTGAAGAGGTAAATAACATTTTTGGCAATAATGAGTAAAGGTATGAAATAAATGTGAAAAACTAAGTTCTTTTTTGTATACCAGTGGTGCGAGTACTATAAAATACTAAAATATTAAAAATTAAATTATATCCCAACCATTCTTATTTGACACCTGCATCCTTATACCTTTCATTTACATTCATTAAAATTCATAAGAATAGTAACATGCCCACATTTTAAAACTTACATGACATCTATTATACATAATATAGGTGATCTGTGCTACTGTTGTTCATCAATAATAACTATTTTACAATGACATAATTTTATAATATTTTAAAATTTTTAAACAAACATTAATTTTTATGGTGATAAAACATTTTAAATGAAGTTCTCAAAAAATGTATTAAAAATGCACTTTAATCTTTTATACTTTACTATAGATATGTTTTTTTTATAAAGTTTTTTATTAAGATATTTTACATATTTTTTTAAATAGATATATCATTATTTAATCATGAAAACAACTTGGTTAATGGTATTAAGCCAAAAGTAATACCAAATAAAAAAGAACCAGAATCACCACCATTAAGTCCATTAGCAGTTAATACATCAACTTCAAGCTTAATAACATTTGTAGCACCCGAGTTTGTACCACATCCTAGAATATCTTCAACATCTAATGAGGAGGTTTCAATTTACACTGATCAAACTGTTAAAAATAATAAATTAGTAGAAAAAACAGAAATTAATACCATTGATAGTCTTGGTGCAAGTGTATCAAGTTCTTCAAATGAAGTTTTGTCAATTTCAATCAGTGATCTATCCTCTGTTACAAATTCTGTTTCAAATCCTGCAACAGTTGTGTCATCATCATTTTCTAAAGTATCATCAAGTGAAGCAATTAGTATAAATAGTCTCCTAGCATCACAAAATTTAACTTTACAAACTGATAGAAAGCTTTTATCTGCCTTTCGAGGACAGCGTGTTTGTATTAATACAAAGCTAAAATCAGTACGCTCTACCAAAAATCAACACTTAAAACTGCTGCTAGCAAATTGTGATGCAGCAAAAAGTAACAGCAGTATTATAAAACAACCTCCTAATTTAAATGATGTAATGAAAACGGCAACAGGTACTCTGTTAACACAGTCATTTAGTACACAATATGTAGTTAGGCCAGGAGTTATAAATTCAACACATAAAAATGGAATAAACTCTTCTGGTCAAACAGTGTACAAAAAAATAATTTATGGTAACCCAGTAAACAATGTAAATATGTCAAAGCCTCAGATAGCTACTTTACAGAGTAAGTTAATTTTTCTATTTTTTTTTTGTTTACCACAAAATTTAGTAAGTCAAAAATACAAATTTCTTTAGTTTATTATACTTTAATAATTTTAAGTGTTATTTACATTTAGGGACTTCAGTGGATCAATCTTCTACAAATTGTCAGTTGGATAGACGGAAAACAAAAATTATTAGTAGCTTATTAAATAATAAGGATATGGTTAATCAACCTAATATACAGGTGAGTAAATAAATTATTATTTGTTTTATATTTTTACATCAATAATTTTAGTTTGACTTCTATTGTCTTTTAGGTTTCATTACCAGGTGTTATTGTTCCTTTAAACACAGCATCTTTAAGTCAATTTAATAACCACCATCAGGTATGTCTTTATCTTTAATATTTAATCTTTTTAATTAAATTAATATAATTTTATTTTTTTTGAAGTCATTAGTATAACGTTAAGCCTAGAAAAATTGGTTGAGAATATGTCATGCCTTGGTGTGTCACTATTGATTAATAATTAATTAATAAATGTTTTACTTTCTCGTCTTTATTATAAAATCATTTAGCCATTAAATTTGATATTATTTACTTTAAAAAATTGGTTCCTTGTATATTAGTTGTTTGTATCAGAATGAAAAAATTAAAACTATATCTCATTAAATGCGCAAAAACAAGAAAATTCTAAATATTTCCATATTTTAAGTTTTATGTTAAGGTTTTAAATTTGTTGATGAGTACATCATCGGAGCAATAGTTATGGATATTTTTAATTTTTCCAATATGCATTGCAGTGTTTTACAAGAATGATTTTAATTACTGCCTGAAACTATCTATACTTATTTAAAAAAATGCCTTATCTCCACTTTCCTGAATTCCGATAATACTTAAATTTTTTTTTATATAAATATTTTTGAAATACTATTAGTAAATGATACAAATATTAGGTGATACTATTTATGATAATTAGTATAGCATTATTAAACAGTTATATCCTTATTAATATTTATGTATATACATATATATATATATATATATATACAAAGTAGTCCATGAATTATGAATCATTTAATTACTTGTAAAATAATAATACTTGAGAATTTCTTTTTTTTTATTTTTTAGTTACATGTAATTTTTGAATTACATTATTCACTTTTAAGTATTTTTTGGTTCATTCCTTATGCATTTTATAGGTGTCAATTTTTACCCACCCAACTAAACCTATAAAATAAATACGTAACTAAAAAAATGACTGGAGGTAAGGAATGGGTGCTGCAATTTTATCGCTAGACATGTCTTGGTTTCATTCTTCCTCTTGCCCTGATATAAAAATGAGAATAACATCTAAAGTACTATTACAAAAGTTGATATTGATCAGTCATTTTCTTTATTAGAATATTTTCTATTTGGTAAGATAGTTAAATTAAGAAATATATGTAACTAAAAGAAATCAAACATTTTTTTTCCAATATTTTATTTATTAAGCAAGTAATTGAGTGGCTTATGATAAATTTATTACTCTGTATATATAACTTTTAATTGATGAACTATTGTTTATTATTTTGTTAATTATATTATGATTGTAATTTACAGGTTAATATTGCACCAAAATCAACTTCTTCAAGTGGTAAGGAAATTAAACTTAATTATTTTATTTTTAAACAATTGGAGAGTGAAAATTTTTCTTTTAAAGTTAAATAAATTTTTCTGCGGATGAAGTTGATATCATTAAAAATATGTGATATAAATAAATATTTGTTGGTTATTAAATCTAGGATTTAGTGTAATCTTTTTGCATAAGTTTCAATTATCAGTGAAGTTTGTAAGTTTGTAAGTTCATGCATTTGCTATCAATTTTCTATGAAATGCATGGTGATATAAACATTTGTTTTAAGCAATGAAGAATCAGTTAAATAAATGTTATTTTGCATAAACTACATATCTTGGGGTATTGTTTGTATTAAATGTACTCTATACACATTTTAACATTTAAGTAATATAACATTACAAATATAAATATTATAAATATTTAATAGAATAAATAGATGTTAAACAGATCTAACTAAAAATCTTTTACCTCTTGATACAATTAACATTTCGTTGTAATTTTTTTTTTAAATAATTACTGCATTCTAAGATTATGTTAATATTATTTTTTATAATTTTAAATTTTTTGAAATTTAAAATAGCCAGTTTTTAGTTTTTTTACAAAAATATTAATGGGTATATAAGAAATTTTGGACAAACTTATTGAGTTATAAGAACTTCAATATATTAAGTAGATTTGTAATGCTGGTAAAGTATAAGTTATAAATATACACTTGTACAAGATGTTAATACAATGAGTGGGTTCAATGTATTAAAACGCTTGTAATACAATAAGTTTTTGACCTAAAATTGTTAATAATCATTAATAATTTTGTAAGAATAGTAGTAATTGACTATCTTAAAATTTTGAAAAACTTTGAAAATATTTTTTTAAATTATTATACACAAATAATAAAAAATATGATTTCAACATAATTTAAGAAATCATAAATTATTTAAAAAAAAAATATATATATAGTGAAATTTTAATTATAACTAAAGTTAAAAATCTTTTAGTTAGATCTAGTTCCACTATGTATAGGTAATTATTTAGAAAATGTATAAATTTTGATAGAAAAATGCTAATATATAAATAAAAAAAAATATAAGGGCTAATTTTTTGTAGTATTTTTGTTACATTTTTCTTAAATGCGAAGTTAAAAATACTTTATAAATAATTTATATACCAGTGGTATAACCAAGGGCCACAGGAGTTTTGACAACAATATTCACGTGTAAATTGAAGTGATGAGTAACAAAAAAAAAAAAAAAATTTTAAGAATTGTAAAAAATTTGTTTTTTTTCTTAAATTTTTATATTGTTTAGAATTCTTGAAGTATTTTGTAAGATTTTTTTGTAAATGCTTGTGTTATTATGTAGTGAATTTTTTAATTTCATTTGTAGGGGTTATAGAGAAAAAATCTGCATATTACCATCTATCTTGACATAATTAAAATTACTCTAATAGTATTATAAAATAACTTTATAAAATAAATCAATTGAAGGCCTTTATTATAATAAGTAAAAATTTTCATTTTTTTGAGTTATCAGAAGAATCTTAAAATCAAATGAAAATGTTATGACTTTTAGTTTATATTTCAGGAAATGTAAAAAACTAAATGGATTCCTTTGGAATTGCTTTATATTTACTATTTCGTAATTCATTTTAAAAGTACTTTATGTATTCATATATATATATATATATGTACATCAATTTTTTGGTGATAATATTTATCATTTAATAAAAAAAAAAAAAAATTGTAACATACACCAAAATCTCTGATAAATCTACAAATGTAATTCACATTAAATTGTAGTAATCAAAATTTACTAAAAATAGTTTCTTCTGAGAAAAAATGATTTTTAAAATAAGTAGAATTTTATGGTAGTTGTTGAAGTAAGCTCTCGATTATAGAAAAATATGGATTTTTTGAAAAGAAATTTAAAAACATATTTAAAAATTATTATTATTTTTTTTCAGTTTCATCTTTTGCGTGCCAAACATTAAATAACATTAAACCTTCAATCTTAGGGTCAATATCAACTTCTAATAATACAGTTAGTAAAAATATTTAATTGATTTATTTTATTACTATTATTTTTCTTAATTATAAATAATTATTTATACCATCATTATAGTTTGCATTAAATATATACATTTGTTTCTATTGTTCTTTACAGATAAAATAAAAATAGAAAATTGTATATATTAGTGTTAATACTAATAAAAAAATTTATGTTTTTAAAGAAGGAGAAAGAGATGGAGGGAATGGTAGAAGTCTAATAACACCAGCTCAGGATTCTTATATATTCATTTTTTGTACATGTAAAAAATATATTTTTAAAATTAATTGTGCATTAGTAATTTTCAGAACTGAGTCATAGTTATTTCAACTCTTGATAAATGCAACAATTTTTTGTTTTCGAATTCATTAAATTTAAATGTTGTGTTTGGGATTCTTTATTTTTCAAATATTAATTTTTATAAAGACCCATCAAAGTTCAAATATATTATTAAAAAAAATAATTTTATCATTTCTCAAAAAATATAATTTATGAATTATAATAATTCATAATTAATGAATAATTATATAATTACTTTAAAATTTAAAACAAATTAAATAAGTATTTTTTAGTAACTACTTAGCTATTATAAACAGGGTCGCATTTAAGAATTGTACTGCCCAAGGTACTCAATTCTGTCGCTACCAATGACCTTTATTATTTTGCTTATTAAAAATAATTTTCTCTTTATTTTTTGCATTGCTATTTCTATTTCTATTTGAATTAGCTAAAAAAAAGGTCTTCAAATCTATAATTTATCTTACTTCATATTTTTATGCCATCCTATGTACTTGAACCCAGTACCCTCTCTCTTTAAATGCGGCCTTGTTTATAAATGAGATTATAACAATAACTATATTGTAATTTTTTTACTTTTTTTTTTCAGAAATGACTTGTTTATATTTTTGATATTCTATGGTATAACAGACTAAAATTAAATTTTTCATGACATAACTTTGTTTAAAATCATCAATGTATTTTATGTATCTATACATAATAAATTAGTTTAAAATGATAATTTTATTATTCAATAAAAATATTTAATGTATAAATTCTACATTATATTAATACAATGTAATATAAGTAAATACATTTATTGTGATTATTTAGTTTATTTAATGTGTTTTATAAATATTAGGTAATTGTGAATAACTTAATATTGTATAATTTTTTATTGATATTTTTATTTGAGTAGAAGACTATTAACAACTAGCCTTTATTGGTAATATTCGAATACTTAAAAATTCTTACGACTTTTTATTATAATTATTTTACATCTTATTCGTATTGAATTTCTAATCATTCAAAATTTATACTTCCATTGTTAACTGTTTTTGCATTTACTGTATTTCGTTTTTGATTAGTAACCTGTTATTAACAATATTACCTTGTTTCTTCTACGTGTTCAAATGCATTTCAGTATTATTTGTAATATTAGTAGTAAATTGAATTATTATAATTTTTTTATTTATTTATAACTATTACTATTACCATTATTCATGTATTTGTAAAGCTGCCTATCGAACACTCATTAATACTTTGTATTTAAATAACGACTGATAAATTATAACATAATTGAAAAAAACTTAAACAATTACTTGTAGTATGGTTCTTTCCACAATTAATTTTAATTTATTAATATACAAATGATAATATTAATGTGATGGATCGCTTTTGCGATATAGTCTTATATAATATATCTTATTGTGATAATTAAAATATTGTTTAACATACAAGAAAACTAATGCTTTTCTTTTAATATAAATGTTGATTATGAAAAACACATTTGATATTTAATTTTTTTATGTATTATAATTTTGTTTGTACTATTTTTTTTCTACTGTTTAATTAATCGAGCTCAGCCAAATGATTAAATAAAGAATTATTAAAATCGATGAATTACTTTTAGTATTTTATTTCTAATCAAAAATCATGAACTTTAAAACTTACTCAGCATCGTAATATTTGATCTTGGTGATTTGATATGCACTTGTATTTTTATTTTGATATTTTGAATTACTATATTTAATTAAAGGAGGAAGGGGGAAATATAATGAGAAATATAATTATGTATTCGCCTACGAAAATTCTATACTGTCATCAAGTGTAGTAATAACTCCATTGTGCAATACAGATTTTAAAGATATAGGTGAATTTTCAAATTATTAATAGTTTTTAAGAAATGATTTTATTTGAAGTTGTTAACATGACTATTAATTAAATTACAACTTTTGAAACAATATTTCCGTTAATTTTCCGTTTGAAAGGTGTAATTTGTGCATTTATCACAGTCTAATTTTTAGTGAAAATTGGGGCTCGTCAATCAGTACTCTTGTTTACCAGGCCATACGGAATGTCCTACAACACAGATCGTCGGCTACTGACGACAACTTCCAAATAATTCCAAGGTTCGCACCATCAGACTCTCTGAATTATATTATGCGCTCAAATAGCTTTAAGTGTAATTTACACATATTTATACAAGCATGAAATTAAGCGTTTAGTGTCATTTACAAATAAACGTAGTTTATTAATAACACTAATGAATGAACCCATTTTCTTACATGATGTTCTACTTTAACAATTTAAAAAAAAATTATAATTTATTTAGGTTGTAATTGATTAAGAAACTATTTGTTATAATTAAGTTCTATTACGTTAGTTCATATCCAATGCTGAAACAATGTTGTTAAAAATTATTATACTTTAAATTTACACATATTTTTTTTATTAATGTACCCAGTGGCGTTTTTAGAAATTTATAATGGGGTTGGGACACAAAAAATGTTCATGAATAAGGTACTAACAACTTTTTTTTTTCCTCATAACTTTTGTTTACACATTTAAAATTTTTATGAAAAAAATCTGTTATTTGTTTTGAATTCATTTTTATTAATAAAAATATTTCTTTTTATACAGAATGTATCTCTACGTAATAAACACTTTGAAAATAGGTGATAACATTAACGGGACAACTGTACGGGCGTCAAATTTTGTTCCATAAGACAACTATTTTTTTTTTATAAGCCCGAAGGTTGGTTTACAACTTCAATTCTCCATTCTAATCGGTTGCTCAACTTTTCTTTAAGTTCCTTAAAGGTTTTGACTCTTGCATCACATTTTATTTGTTCTATATAAGAGTTTCGGGGACGTCCTGTAGTTTTCTTTCCTTATATCATACTCTCTAATATTGTATTATGCAAATCTTCTAGGTGTCTCAGGGCATGTCCAATCATTTTCCAGCGTCTTGTTCTAATCACATTTATGAGTGTGCGTTTTTCTTCCACAACTCTAAGTACTTCTTCATTTGTTTTCCACTCTATCCAACTTATCCTTTCCATAAGACTCCAACACTACATCTCGAAAGCCTCTAGTTTTTTCTTTTCGGTATCATTTATTGCCAAAGTTTCATATCCATATGTTGCAGCATACATATGTTTTTTAAAAGTCTTTTCATGATATTGAGTTGTAGATTTTTTGAAATGAGCAACTGTTTTTGTTTATGTTTTTTACTAAATACAGTTTTTGTCAATGCTATGCGTTGTTTTAGCTCGCGAACGTTCTTACCAATGATGTTATCAAATTTTTTATGTATACTAAAAATATTATTTATTTTCTAAATAAATATTATGAAAATATAAGAAATATTCCATAATTATTAATAAGACATGAATTATATAATAATATATATATATATATATATACAAATATATATTATTCTAGTTTTAGAATTGATAAAATATACAAATAATATAATATTGTATAATCAATTAATTGATTGAAATTATTATGTTTATCAAATTTATAAGCATAGCCTTACATATGTCTAGTGTTTATAAAAAGATTACATAAAATATATAAAAGATTAACATTTGATATTTTCACCATCAATTAAAAATTAGTTATTAATAAATAATAGTGCTATAATAATTATTAACACGTTTGATTTATGTAACACTTTTTACAACAACCATAGTCACTTAGTAATGAATTTAAAAAAAAAAATGCTAATGATGCCATCTGAGAATTAACAGGGGATGTCAGCTTCCATTTTGTAGAATCGACTAAATGCGATTATTTTTGCAAGATTATATTCATTAGTTCCAAAAAGGGAATCTACACGCTATGGGAAAACGTAAGTTTTATATCTAATGAATTCAATGGGTACTTCTCTAAAAAGTACAGTGGGTGAAAATTGAAGCGATTGTTTAATAGCACACCAGTTAATACAATTAAATCGCCATATAAGGCAGTAACTCAAAAAAATTTAATTTTGAAATTATGAGATATCTGGATTTAGGTTTTACCCTTCTGATAATAACCTTCATCAAAATATCGTAAATTTGGTTTGAATTGGAATTAAACTACTTAAAAATTGAAAAACATATAGAGTGCAATCAGAAAATAAATGTTATTTTTGATCCTACTGAAAAGTAAAAAAAAAGAATTGCTGCCTTATTTGTTGCGCATATCGAAATGTTCCTTACCCATTGAATTGAATTCAAATTCTGCTATGTATGTTTTGGACACTTTAATAATTAAACAGTCAAATATTAATAATAAAAGTAAATGATTAAAAAAAAATTATGTAATAATAATTATTGTTTTTGGTGGTAATGCAACATTTTTGATTACAACAATGCACAAAAGTTAGATTTCTGTAACTAGATATGTTTGAAAAAAGTATTTTCGAATTATATTTTCGGGTTACTCATAATGGAGATATTATTTTATAACAAATGATTATTAAACAAGAATTTTTACAAACACTTTATATTATTGGTGACAGTGATTATTATAAATAATATTATACAGGATGATTTTTTTATCATAACCCACTCAAATAATTGCAGAATAATAATAATTTAAACATTTTTTTTTTTATTATCTTTAGTTACACATCATTCTTGAATTATTAACTATGTAATACTTTTTAAGTTCATCCCTTATGCCTTGTAAGGAGGTCAACTTTGTTTTTTTAAATGGTAACACATATTTTGAATTTAATAAAATGTTTGAGTTTTTAATTTAATAGTAAATGGCATTTGAATTTTTAATATAACTTAATTCGTTTATTAGATATAATCATTTAAAGTTTAAAATTTTTGAGTTAATATACAGGTATAATACACAAGGGATAACATATATAGGTAGCTAATTGGTTTTTTATGACATTGCTGTCACAGTCACGGATTGTTTATTATCAATTATGACTATCAATAAATATAATTTTTGTATTGTTAGTTAGTGTATTTATAAACTCACAACAATGTACCTTACTACCATTGATAATAACAATGCTGTGTGCCTGCTAATATCGATGTCATAAAAAATAAATTAGCTACCTGTATTTGTAATCCCTTGTGTATTATACACGTATATTAACTCAAAAATTTGAAACTTTAAATGTTTATATCTAATAAATAAATAAAGTTATACTAAAAATTCAAATGACATTTACTATTAAATTAAAAATCCAATATAATTTTATTATATTCAAAATATGTGTTCCCATTTAAAAAAACAAACTTGACATCCTTACAAGGCATAAGGGATGAACATAAAAAGTTTTAAATAGTTAATAATTCAAGTATAATGTGTAACTAAAGATAACCAAAAAAAAAAAATGTTTAAATTATTATCACTCTGTAAGTAATTGAGTGGGTTATGATAAAAAAATCACTCTGTATATCCTGGAACTTATTAACTGTGTGTCTTTTGTTCAACTGTAAAATTTTGCGTCTAACAGAAAGGAATGGCTTCAAGGCATTTTCTTTATTAAATGATGATGATGATTGAATATTGAATCATTAACATATATTTATAATATATGGTAATTTTATTTAAAAGTTATTAACTAATATTTATTATTTATAAAATAAATCTTTGAATTCAATAATTCATCTATATGATTAGATAGTTTGCACAAAAATATCATACAACATAGAATAGTTATGTGACCAGTTTAAAATTTGAATTCAATATATATCACTATAGCAAGGTTATATTCAAAAAATATATAAAGCCAGTTTTGGAGGATTTTTTGAGCAATAAAAATTTTACTAATCAAAGTAAAAATATGTATAGAATTTTTTTATTTTAGTTACATTTATCAAGTTGGGGTTTAAACGAAATTAATTATATAATACAGAGTTTACGTGTTTATGAATTCATATATTTAATGTTTAAGGGCTCTAGTTGAAAAAATTCCATAATTGTAACTTCATAATACATAAAATTAATAAGTTATTTGTCAATTTATATTAGCTAAAATACGTTTTTGTAAAATTTATTATCCTTTTTTATCAATGTTATATAATTTTATTTCAGATACTCTAGATCAACTACTGCAACAATTTATTATAAGTGTTAATTTACCATTTAGAAAAATTGAAAATCCTGTTTTAAAGGAAATAATTGAACGAGGTATTCCCCAACAGAAAACTTGTATCTCGGCCTACTTTAATGAAAAGTATTGAGAATGACTTTCATAAATTATCCTTCAAAATAAAATCTGAGATGTTTAAATGTGATCATATTATACGATTGCAGATAGTTGGTCGATTTTTAAAAGTAAATAATAGATTTATTTTTATTTATGTAGGTACTTAATCAAAATATTTTATAGATAGTAATATAATATTTTGTTAGATCGTACATTGGAATAACAGTCACATGGATCAAAGAGGATTTATTAATAACTACTCGTCTTTTAACACTGAAAAGACTAGAAGGGTTATACACTTGTGATATCTTAGATAAAGTCATGTACTTTGTGATGAAAATAATGAAATTTCTAATCAGTTGCTTGTGAATAATTCAGTAGAAGTAGATGATAAAATAGAAGAAATTGATGTCGACAATTTGGGCATTCAAAATAATGAAGAACAATATTTTCAGTATACGTTATATTTACATGAATAAAAATTCATTTTTAGTATGTTGAAAATTAATTTTTATTTGGTAAAAAGGACATATAAATATTTATATAGTATTAAATATGTCATTATTTTAAATACAAAAATACTCGTTTTTAACGGTTTCTTTCTGTTATCCATCATATTATCAGATACAATACGGATTCTTACTTCCTTGTTATATACGATTTAAGGTAAATTATTTTGCGATTAATTGATTATTTTATTTATAATATGAACACTTTAGATTATGAAATTATATCTTAGAATTGTTTATGTTTAATTTCGAAATTGAAATGAACAACCTTTAAAGCAAAAGTTCTGTTAATCATGTTTTTGATCCTGATACTAACAGCTACGGTCAATAAAGTTTTACTGAAATATTTTATATAATTAATGTATCTTTTTTTTATAATTTTAAAAGACCTTTTAGAGGAAATATTTTTAATTTTTTATAATTTATTATTATTAAAATGTTTTTGAAAAGAGATTTGTTTAGGCAATTTTTATTTAAAGTGTAATAAATACGAGTGGTGGGAGAGTATAGTGCGAGAAGAGGCTTTGTGAAATTATAGGCTGGTCAAAATTTTATTCATTTTAATATACTATAAAATGACAACTTTTATTTTAAATTATTTTTGTTGAGTATTAAAATATAATTACACTCGTATAAATTTCGTGGGACCATCTGAACATAAAATTAGTATTACATTAGTAAAATGAATGAATTGGAATAAGCATGTAATAAATCTCATTAACCAACTTACTTTAGCTTCCTCCCATCGAAAATATATTTGTGGTATAATGATAGTACTTTTGAAAAATCGTGTAATTATTTACGAGTTAAAATTTAATTAAAAAAATGGAGTGTTGGCTATTCACTGTATATACGTAACCATAACAAATTGTGTTTTTTAAATGTCTGTAAATAGTATAAAATCCATATAAGTTAAAATATTTAAAAAATTTCGGTTTAAAATTTTTCTAAATGTCTTTTATTACAGGTGATCATATAAGTAGAGCAAATATTTTATCTCAAGATTTTTTACTTTATATAACTCATATAGAAGAATCAATTAATGACATTGAGGAGTCTGACGAAAAAAAAATTATAAATGTAGGTATATATGTTTGACTTTAAATATTTTTCTAAAAAATATAAAATCTAATAAATTAATGCTGTAAATAATTACATTTTTATATTTATTTAATACAGAAACTAAGAAAGATTATAATCTTATATGACTATCGTAATAACATCAATAAACAGTTATATAATAATAATAATTGAGTTAATTATTTTTACAACTAATAACAATCGCTGTTCATTGAACTTTATATGAAAAAATAGATAAAATATATATTTTTGAACTGCTTAGATGAAATAAAACATACTTAGTTTTTTAAGAGTTATAACAAGTTAACACTAGAGCCCTATAATAAATGAGCGTTTACCGCTGCGGAAATAAAATCCGTGAAGTTATGTGCCGATTTAATATCGCCCATTAGTCAACAACGGGAAGTTTGAAAAAATATTTTGTCACTAAAATTTTTGTTATTTTTTAAGCTCAAGTTATTTTTTTGGTTGGGTATGTCACTTTATTTTAAGAAGGAAAAATAACTAGCGATAGGGATCATTAATTGTAAGTATGGAATTTTGTATATCTGTTAATATAATTCAGATATATACTGTATTGTATAATTTTAATTTCACTATTTTACCGTCCTTTTCATAAATATAGAAGATATAAACCTAAAAGTATTAAATTATAGTACTTGCACTTTGGCGTACAACATTTTTTCCAAATTATTAAGCCCATTAAAGTTTTCGTGTATGGTGTATATTTGCTAAGCTTAAAAACATTTCTATAGAGGCTATAATCTTAAAATCTATTTCATAATAGCAAATGCCTTATAATTAAGTAATATTATTAAACCATATAAATAATATCGATTAATATACCGAATTTAATATAACTAGGAATGGCTTCTAATGATATTAAAAGAGCCTCGCTTAAATATAGCTAAGGCAAGGATCCGAAACATGGCCTTGTCTCAGTTGTTGTTTGATATAGACCAAAATAAATTGAGACATCCATTTAATGAGAGACCGACAAAACATGCATATAATGAACTTAGGAAAAAATTAATTTTTTTATTAGAAGGAAAACAGATTCATGAGTCATTAAATGAAACTGAGGTAAGTATTATTAAAGTTATTTGATACAATTAATTATTAATTGGTTCGTATAATATTAAAACCAGACGTGCGCTTTTTAAGTTATTCTTTTTGTTTAATATATTATATTTTTTAAATAAATATAATATGACTTAAATCTTATCACATAAAATAATTACTAAATTCTTTTAAACTAGGTTTTAAAAATCCATAAAAAATAATTGTATACTCTACGCCTATGTTATCATGTGTCTTAATTTCGAGAATATTAAAAATTTTAATTTCAAACAAATTAATTTCAAACAAGAAAATTAATTTAGCTTTCATTTTTCATCATTTTGTCTTGTAACGTTATTTTAAAAAAAATTCTGAACCTTGAATTATGATGATTTTTTTATTTTGTAGTCATTACCTACAAATAATTCAGATTGCGAAATTTTAAATCAAGAATTGGTTTTGGATGAATTTTTAGGACATTCGATATGTAACGAGGAACGCACTTATACAGCAATCAAATGTTTACCAGATGGTTCAGGTGTGTTTGGCTACGTTGCAGTTACAGTCGGTGATGGGGTTGCACAATGGTTAAACGCCAACGGCCAGCCGATTATAACACCTGAACCCTCCCCAAAATTATTAACTGTTCATCAAGCTAAGCAAAATAATTGGCAAACAAATTACTCACAAATAGATTTTGAAATGAGTTGGCTCGATGTTCTGAAAAATCGGAGACCACCAGATTCTCGTGAAAATTCTATAGAATTTTACAGAAAAATGTATGAAGCCATTGCACAGGAAATGGTTACACAAGACATACATAATGAAATCTTATGTCCGAATCCTGTAGTTGATCAATTGCTGAACTATTTAGTAGTAAGGAATATTGTTTTTATCATTTGTTACCATTTTATTTTAATCATTAACATGGGTCATATTAATGATTGAAATTCTAATAGGCAGTTAAAAGAGTTGGTTGGGTTAAATAAAAAGTTTTCTGACAATTTTTGAGAATGCAAAAGCATATTATTAGATACAGTGTCGGCTTGGTTGGGTTTAAATAAATGTACAAAAACACAAGTTTTAACATTATTAATTCTCAACTGTCCTAAATGTATGATTTTAAAGTTGAACAATTTTAAAATTCCTATAAATTAAAATTAACATTTTAGTCTTGGAATAATTTAACTTTTTAACATGACAGTAGTATCTAGATCTATTTATAATATGATGAGTATTATAAATAATCATGTTCGAGAATCATGTATTTATATTAGTGCATAAGTACAATATTTTAATTATTTGAATTAAACGAAAAGGTCATTGACACTGATAGGTATTGTTAGGTTAGGGATGAGGGTGAATTTGTAGAGTATGATATTTTAAATAATATGTGTACCTAAAACATTTTGTATTTTACTATTGGTTAAGAACTGTTTGTGGGGTAAAACACGGTGCCTTAGTATTTTTTTTTATATAGACTATTACAATTTATCTAGAGTCATAACGTGTTGCTTTGTGTTTAGTAAGGAGGGTTGTGAAATCCTGTCTCATTGTATTTTACCTTCTAAGGGGATTATATAGCGCACTGCAATATTGTACAAAAACTGCGCTTAGTGTGAGAAAAAAAAACCTTGCATTTCATTTCTCACTACATTTGCACACAGTAGGTATTTTCAGTAGGTTGGTTTAAAATAAGTATTAACATTTTAGTATTACAAAAGTAGTGTATCAGAACTATTTGTTTTTATATATATATAATTTTTTTTAAAAACTACGTTCTTGAGCAGAATAATTTTACAACCTCCTATTACTTTTTTGGTTGGGCTATTTCCTTAAAGTATTCGATAAGTATTTTACTTAAGTATAAAAAAAATACTAACAGTTATAAAATATCAAGTTGTACTGATAAGTATTTATTTAAATGAACACATTTATTTGCTTTTTGCATTATTTTTTTACAAAAAATGTTCTAAATTTCAAAAATATCGGATAACTCTTGATATTATAGATTATAAATATAACTCAAATTTATATGTATTTATAACCGTAGTTCTATCCAAAAGCCTGCATAAATCGAAATAAAATACTTATTTATCAATCAAACTGATAGGAATATGTATAAACGTCAGTGACGGTTATAAGTAACTTTTACTTTTATAGATTCTATACCAAAATGAGATATTAATCGACCTAATAAACATCATAATCATGTAATTAAAATTTTTATGGATTATTTTGTTTTAGGATGACTTAAAAAATATAAGAATAGATGATCCACGAGTGTTTAATAGAGTCAACTTACTCTCATTATTGAAAACACAACTAAAAAATGTTATCAACAAAGTAAGAATATAAGAAGAATTGATCACATGTGGCTAATATTATTTAAAATTTTAAATATCAGTTTAAAACAAAAAAAAAATTTAACATTGTTTAAACATACGGTATGTGTTTAGCACTGATGTTGGTAATATTGTTCTTGAATTACATATATTTAGTAATTCCTTCTTCAAAGCTTTTTGAGTTAAATATTATTTATTTAGTTCTAAATTAATATTTTAATATATTTTTTATTTCAAAGAAGTAAGAATAATAATAATAAACAATAATAGTTGTTACATGTTAAAATTGGAAATACTGGTATCCTAATAGTTTCTTAAATGAACTGTAAAGTTCCCCCCAAAAAAAAAAAATTATTCGCACTATACTTGTTATNATGAACTGTAAAGTTCCCACCAAAAAAAAAAAATTATTCGCACTATACTTGTTATTACGATATTATATTAAATTTTCTAATCTTTAAATTACACTTGTGATAATAGTGAGTTTAATAAGGAATGATTTAATTTGAATTAATTTTTTTTTATTGAGTCATTACTTGAACGTGAGACCACAGGTACTGGAGTATTTTATGTATAGGCACAACTTGAGGTCTAGAAAGGCAAGGCTGGATTAAGACCTATATGAGCCACGTGACGGTATCTTGAGATGGGCTATCTATAAATAATATCGCTATCATAAAAACTGTTCTGAACAAAAAATACTATATGTTGCCTATACTAGATGAGAGGCTAGTAAAATGATGAGATGTACTTGGGGGTGTTTGATATTTCTTGCCCCCTCAATCCGGGCCTGTAGAGAGGACTGAGCTCCCCAAAAATTATGAAAGTAGCATGTATTTTTATAAAGGAATATTTTTAAGGTGGTGAGAAATTAAATTATATTTCCCAAATATTTTGTTAAAATTGTGTCTATGATAGTATATCACCTATATTATTAATTGAGAATAATTTACTACAGACAAAGTAGAGGTTGGACTCGGACTTTCTTAGAGGTTAGACTCGGACTCTCTTAGAGGTTGGACTCGGACTTTCTTTTAGATATTTTAGGTGCAAATAAAATTTAGTAAAAAAATGTACATTATTTAAAAATTCAAATATGCTTAGGGTTAATGATAGGGATTAGTTGGTTTCTAAAACAATTTTTGTTTCTAATAATACTTAATGAACGCTTTAATTCAACTATTCGTTTTTATTAGCAATTAAAGGTTACTTATTTTATTTTAGATTGAAAATCGTTCAGAAACTTTGGAATGTGCAATTAAGTCGTCAAATCTTTCTCGTATTATTCAACTTCCTAAAAAATGTTGTTATGATTTAGTTTCTAACGCTATTTGGAACGAAATGTCTGAACAACGACCTGGTACCAAGTATATGGATATTCTTGTAAAGAATTATCCAAAAGAAGTTCATTCATTGTAAGCATATAAAATACTTTACAGATATACTACATTTGATGTGTCTGAACTTCTATTAGGAAAAACCTACTATAATGCTTGAAATACCAAATTTAATTACTCTTTTCACTTTTAAAACAAAAATAATTTACCTATATCAAGAATAAAAAAAAATGTAAATTTTTATCGTTTTGGTTTTAAATTATTATTGGTTTATTCGAACTAAAATAGTTATTAAAATATTGATTTTTCACTATTATTTGATTTATTCAGATATTTATCAGTATTGATACGTCAGAAACAACTAATAATAAAAAATGTTATTGAAAAATATTGTAAGATATTAGATGACATGTTTGAAGATTTAGAAAAAGCAATATTATCTAAATTGTATAAATATAAAAATGCAAAAAGGGAATGGTTATTAGTTCATCAAATAATTAACGAATATGTAAATGAAAGATTTTATAAAAATAAGTTACATGCAGTTGATAGCTCAATAGATGAAACGACAAAAACCTTTTTTTTAGTAATTTATAATGAAATGGAAATGGCCCAAAAAAAATTAAAGGTATGTCATGTAAAATATTTACTTGAAGCGTTAGTAAAAATAATTTTTATACATTTTTTCGGAAGACAATGATTAAGAAGAATATTGAAATAGCTGAACAAATACCAATATTAAGGATTGAAATTGGAAAAAAAGAACAAATTCAAAATTCAATGATAAATGAATATGAAGAACAGATGGAAAAATTAAATAAAGAAATAAATAATGAAAAACGTGATATCACTGTTCGAGAGCACACTATTTGCGAGCTTTTAAATAGAAAATAGTTTTTAACTTAAAAATATTAATGTCAATTAAAGCTTATAAAAAAATATTTTTTTAAACTTACTAAAACTATTATTTATTTTCAAAGCAAACGAATGATTTTTGTTATATGTTATGTAACTTTTTATAATTATTTTGATATAATTTTTCAATTCAAATTTAGAGTTTCTAGTGATTTTTTACAATGATTAAGTAAAATTGGGTAAAATATAATATTTCGTTTTACTCATATAAACAAATTTAATACATTATATTAAATATTTCTTTTCTCATTTAATAAGGTATTTTTGTGTTGATTATGATGCATTGCTTTTACCTTTTTCGATAACAGCAGTCTAACGTTAATAAATATATACTACAGTAGTATACACTATTCAATAAAAACTACTGACGTTAATTTTTATTGATATCTAAATATTTCACAAAATTCTATTACTTTAATCTCACTATAAATCTAGATTTTTATAGTTTCGTAATTACAAGCTAATCTATTTATAACTATAATAATATTCTACTTAATCGTAGGGCTATCTTTAGGGGAGGTCATCTACTTTTGATTTAATGTGACATTTTTTTTGTAATAAACCACAAAATACGAACGTTAAGATTAGACTGATCTCAAATTAAAATCGAAAAAAATAGAGATCAAATTACGTCGAGTCCTACACGCGACAAAAACAGGTGAATGGAGTGACAATTTACACTTAATGAGTAAAACCGTATGTCACTTGTAAAAATGAAATATTTTTGGAACAAGGGTGCTAATTGTGGTGCTATCGTGTGATAATTCCACAAAAACATCCTATCTGAACTACACTGGTTTCACATAGGTATGACTACTATGAAAAGCTTGTTACGATAATATTTTTGCCAAAAATTGACAAGGACATCGAAAATATGGTTCGTTATAAATGTACAAACGCTTGGCCAAATCTACCGAAATAGTATAGTAACAATAGTGTAGTATAATTATTTAAACATGTACTAAATATCACATATATATGAATAAAGGAAAAATCATCTAAGGAATGTTTCCCTTTTAGGGTAAACAAAATAACCATTTATTAACACATGTTTCAAACCAGTCCCCTACAATTCATTAACTGCGCCCACATCAGAATTTCTATCACAATTAACCAATCACAAATAATTATCCAACATCTCAGGAAATTCAATAGCTGGCTTACTTTATCCGGTATATAAAAAGCTATTTTTTTCATAAAAAACTCTCTTTGGCAGCTCATGTTGCTTCTTCTCTACGTCTCGTTTCTGAGCTATTGCTGATGATCATTATTCTCTTACATGGAATCTACGTCAGTATATGTAAATATTTTGCCTCGACGACTTAGTTTTTTTTCTCATATCATTCTATATTGTGAACATTGTTTTAGACGATTTATAAATATTTTAACCAGATATAAGTTTTATATATTTTTACTATTTCCTAATATCCTTACAAGAAATAAATGTATTTTGTATTTTATATAAATTTTGAATATTATTGTGCCCTTAACTTATAAACAGCTTTAAATGTACCGAACAAAGTGAAGAAGCGTAATTTGTGATTAGAATTAATTAGTCTTAGTAGTAATACTTTTGCCTGTGACTCCCTAGCCATAAAGGACTATGCCAATTACTTTCCGGTAACGTGCAGGCAGTTGAGGTAAAGAGTAGTACTAAAATTATAAAAATAATATTTTTGAAGTGCGCTATATTTGTCGATAAGCCAGTTCTAGAACTATTAGCCCGGGTAGAGTTCATTATAAAATATATAGTTCGTAAGGTAGGAAACTACATCTTGGAAATATTCTCTGAGTGTGTATCCGCCAGCCATAAAGAACAATACCAATTACCTTTTGGTAATGTGTAGGCAGTTGACGTAAAGGATAATAAAATGTGTATTGAAATAATATTTAATATATATTAACGAGGTTAACTGTGTCCGCGTCAGTCAAGACTTTACGCTGAGCCACCGCAGTCTTGTTAATTATATTTTGAATATAGTTCTTATAATTGTATTTTGACAAGTTCAGAGTAAATTTTAAGAATATCGATATCGACTATAGAGAATTCATCAAAAATATTATTAGTAGAAACATAGTACATTATAAAAAAAGTTTAAAAATAACATATCATAATAGACGCAGGTCCCATTGTAGAGAATCGTTTTTAAATCCAACACACAAAGGCTAATTAATCGAAATAAACGCAAGACCCTATAAACGATTGTTAACACTGAAGCGAGAAATCACTATAAGATTAACTCAGTCAACTACGAAAGGAAATAAAGGTAAGTGCTAATATTTATTTGCATGATTTACTTCTTAAAAATAAATGTAATTAACAAGAATAAGAATAATTGAGGTAGGGATATTTCATTATTTGATAACTCAACATAGTTCGACACAAAGATACTCCTTCATCTTTACCCACTTTTATATTTAATACATATTATATTCTTTACCTTATTTTTGTTTATTACAATATATACAAAGTTACATTAGATTAAACAAAACAGTTATCTCCTGTTTGTCAAAATACTGAAGTAGACAACAATGACCACACAGAATTAAAAAACCTATTCAACATATCTTTCCATCAGACTACAAATAACTAATTTTACACTATGTAAACATCTCTGTCTATATGAATAAATATTTTATCTGGTTATGAAAGGTAAACTGTAAGCAAAATCTTACTTCCTCATTAAATTTCAATATTTATTTATATGTTAGTGGCTTATACCCAGTAGTTGGGATTGTGACGAAAAAGAAGGAGAAGATTTATATGTTAGTAATTATTTAAAATATAAATGTATTATAATTTCATAAGAAAAGAGGTGTTAAGTATTGATAAATATTATATAAATTAGTAGTGGGGGATTGTCCACTAATTGCGAGTGCAATCACTGGCACACGCATTATTAAAAATTATATTGTTTCTTAATAAAGACTTATTTTCTTTTTAACTTTTTCATATTAAAAACACAACAAATGAAAAATTGTACAATTTTTGATGGAACAAAATTTAACATTTATGTTTTCATACTGGTAAAAATTACACATACAGTGGTTAAATAAAAAATATTATTTTATTCAGCATCAAGTAGTATTTTATGCATTTCGAGAGCTCTGCGTTTTGCACGAACAAGACAATATTGAATTTGATTATCTTTTATAAAATCGCCACCTATAATATAAAAATATACATTTAAGTATTATACTTTTAAATTTAACCTTACCTATCTTTACTAAAAATTAACTATAACTGAAAAGTATAGAGCTACTTATTACCTGGTTTATGTAAAGAGTACAAACGACTACCATTTGTAACAATAGTTATTTTACTAAGGCATAACTGTTCTTCTTCTTCTGTTGGATCAGCTACTATATATTTCTCACTAAATATAGCAAATGTACTTGCAACAGGCATACTATTAACATGTAATGCTTTATAATTTGTAATTACATTTATTTCTTCTGTTTCTTTGTCATATTTTACTTCTGGTATTTTAACTGAAAATTTTCCAGTATAATTGTTAGTTTTTGTTTATTAATACAATTTATATTAATTTAAATATTAGTTACTAGTATTTATGGAGGAAAGTAAAGCAGTTAGGCATGTGTCTACAATTGAACCATCATAGTTTAAACAATATATGTCAAATGATATTACCCATACTAATTTGTCAATACAAATGCATAATTGCTTTAGATCTACAAGATTACAGTTATTACATATTTCATTTAAAAAACTTGTGGTTTCCATTGCTTCATCACATGGTATTCCAGGTCGAAATTTTTTATAACATAGGCTTGGTAATTCAACATTGACTAAAAGATAGCCAGTATTTGGAGTTTCAGGTTTAGGAGTTCCAAGTTCCTAAAACAAAAAAATGTTAAAATTTAAACACTTCTTTTTTAAAATATTCATAAAATACCAATCTAACTCCGCAGATGACAGATGTATTTCCAATTTTTACAACTGATGATCCATCTGAAATAGTTATTGGCTTTAGATTTATTGCTGTATCACGAAAATCAGTTAATTTTCTACCATCGCTTCTTTTATTATTTGCCTTAAAAATTAAAAAAAAATACTTAAGTAACTTTAATACAATTTAATTCTGTTCATTAAAATTTATAAAATACCAGGTATTCCTTCACATAAGTATTGTGGATGTTTCTGTAAAAAAACAGTTTTATTAATGTAGGTCCATTAAAAAAATCTATAAATTAAGTGTGAATAGACTTATATTTTTTAATCGTTAAATATTTATAATAAAATCATTAATAAAAAAAAATATATCAATTAATATTAAGTTTTGTTAATAAATATTGATTCAAATCATGAATTTTTTAAAGTAAATTATTACTCTGTCAATAATAAAAATTAATTTTAAAATTATGAAAATAATTCAATTAATTGAATATCAATTACTTTTTAATAGAATTCATAATTAAAATGGTTGAAGCTAGAAGTTATATTGATTGGTTATAATAAAGATTAAACAACTTGATTGTTTTTAAATAAAGATTCGAAATAGTTAAATGTTGGGGTACTTAGATGATTAAAAATTATCTCTTATCATATTTTAGAACATGTTGCTTAAGGTTCATGGATTATAATTCTATAATCTATAAACCTAGAATGCCGATAGTAGTTTATCTAAGTTATCACTTAAATTACAGTTTAAACACTTATAATATTGTATCAAAAATTCTTTATTTGGCTACACTACAGTAGCCATATGATTTTTCTATTGGGTATAGAGGCACCTGACATTTAAAAAATAACCGTTACACGTTGAACAGCGTCCGGTGAAAAAGTTTGTTTGAGTGCGTTCTCTTCGGTGTAATGTCGGGTTGTGCGATTATGGTAACGGTAATGTAACATCACGAGCAAAACGTTAAACACAATAATTAAATTTCATATATTTATTTGTTTTATAATATTACAGTCATTTTGATATCTTAGTTAATTGCAAAATTAGTATATTAATGTTTTATCAGTGTTTTTTTTTTGTTTCTAAAAATACGTATTTTATTTGTAAACGACGATTATAATTCTCGAAACCACATTTTTGAGTATTTATGATAATTATTTATTTAAAACGAGATTACAAGACAAATATTCCATTTGAATTTCTCAAGAGAAGATATTAATAATATTGTGTTCCTAAATTAGAAATAATGGATTTCACAGTATTCAGAGACCAAGAAAATGTGAATAATGTTATGCGCAATAAAGAAAATGCACCAAGAGAACAACACCTGAAAAGATCAGTTTTAGGGGTGCTTAATTCTAGACAACAAAATAATTTCAATAAACAAGTACCAAAATCTAAGGTATATTTTAATCATGCACTTTTTTTTTTAGTATCATCTTGACTTTCGAGTAATTTCCTGAGTTATTTAACATATCTCGTTCATATAAAAAGTTATTTTTAAAAATTACTAGGTATGTTGTGTAACGGCTTTATATTATACATATTTCTTTATCAGTGTAATATTACATTGTGGGATTTCCTTACTGAGATGGTTTATACTTAAATTATGTTTGACATCTATTATTCAATTTTATCGAGAAATGATTATTCAAGTCATAGGAAATGGATATCTAAATATATTTTTATGAAATTGAATTTAGTTTTTAATTTTCACACTCAATATTTATATATTTCTAAGTATTGTTTAATTTCTGTTTAAAAAGTATTATTTTATCCTATACCTAAATATACCACTTCAACTTTTATTTCATAAATAAAATACTGAAGTTTTTTTTTTTTGTGATAGTAAAGTTTTTTTAAAATTTACTATCACAAATTATATTTATAATAAAATTAATGGCGAATCAACTTATAATAAGAATAAATCTATGTAAAAATATATTTTTAATTTTAAATGAATTAACTTAATGGATTATCAACATGTTACTCTATGTAAATTATTAAAAACAAAGTTTATTAAATCATTTTTATTAATTATAAACATTTTATTTTAAATATTTTAACAATTTTATGTAGTGTATTTTAAATTGAATTTTTAATAAAAGATCAAATTAAATATCAAGTTAATGTTGGCGTTAATAAAAATTATATTTTAAAGATCAATGAAAATATGTTTGCACTATACTAAGTATTAATATTTTTAAGGTAAAACATTTGTCTTAATACTTATGAAATGCAATTATTGTAAAAGATAATTCTAAAAATTTCAATTACTTCTCATTTAGTGTTGTTATCATTTACCAAAATAATAATTGTCTTAAATCTAAAAATTATTTTTGTTCAGGAAAATTTTAGGAATTTTTATGACTGTTTGGAATTTTAAAAAATGTATTAAATCTATCATATACTTAGATTAAATAAGAGTGAGGTTAGGTATTAAAACCTCCTTATTAATTTATTTTGGTAAGAAAATTATATTAAAATTTTGGGGTTTAAAAGTAAAGGAAATTTATGTATATAGAAACTCCCCATAAATAAATACCTACATATGTGATGGGAGTAGATAAAAAAAATGGAAAAAATTATAATTATTGACGACTATGAAATTGATTGTACCTTTAAGTGTTGTAATGCAAATTAGACTGGTCTAGGGTAGGTAAATTGGGATATTTCTTCAGACCTCACTTGTATATTGGTGTCTCCGTTAAGGTTTTTACTTTTTTAGAAATTTTTTTTATAATAAAGGTTCAGCTAAAGTTAGAAAATGAAAAATTTAAGTATTTCCAATTAAACCTTATTTTAAAAATGATTTTTTTTCTTAAGCATATTATTAGAATAATAATTATTGCCCAATCAATTGATATAATACTTATTTTATTTACTAAAAGGAAAAAATTGAGATACTAAGAACTAAAGTGATTCATGTGTACTGTTCAATGTAGTTACATAAGGAGCCGTTTATATCTAGCACTATACAAGTCATAAAAATTTAATGAACTGCAGATTTATCAATACAATAATAATAATATAAGTGTTTTTTTTTCTTTTACATGGTCACTACTAGTCTATAATAATTATTATTATAATTATAAACAATTTAAAGGAAGACTGGAGATGAGGAGTGGTTGCTACTATTTTTATCACTAGTCATTTTGTGCCCATATTTTCCTCCCGCCTAGGTATGAAAATATTAATAACTACTGAAATACTGGTCCAAAAATTGTTATTAACCAATTATTTTCTTAATAAGATAATTTTCTATTTTATAAGATAGTTTAATGTGTATGTTTCCATTAAAAAAATAAAGTTAAACTTCCTATAAGATATAAGGGTGAATCTAAAATTTTATAACAAATAAATGGAAATACATATGCAATTAACAAACTAAATAAAATTTTTTTTTAAAGAATTTGAGTGGCTAGCATCAAAAGAAACACTTTGTATATTGCTATTTGAAAAAATAAAGTTTCTATCATTATAAAGTACGAATGATAGATATTGTAAATATTTATGATTTAGTTTTCTAAATTAAGATCATCTATAAGAAATGAACAATATTATTTTTATTTTATCAATAAATCCGCTGATTTATTTATTAAAATATGATGAACTTGCAATTGTAAAAATCTATTGATATTCTTTTAAAAAATGGTTTTTGATTTTTTAATGTATTTAATTTTTTTTCTAAATGTTACTTGAACTCCTCAGTTTTACATACCCCAATAATAAAACATACCTTTCATGGCCTTCGTTTGACATTTAAGACACTAGTAAATTACATTTATTGTACTAGTTTTTTGTTTTTTGTCTTGTTTATTTTTAAAATTGCTGGTGTGTTTTAAAAAAAAAAAATTGATTGCTAGTTTGTTGTTTTCCTTATTCATGAACTTGCCAAATTCATTTAAATATGTTTGCTCATACTGACTATTAATGTTGGGAAAAAATGTTGGTATTTCAATATAATATCGATATTAAGATAAAAGTCTAGACCAATATTAAAACTTAATGATTCAATATATTGTAATATTACAATATTTATTAAAATTAGTATAATTCAATTTTTTTTTTTCGTGAATTTTCAAATTTTATATTACCTACGAATAATTCTTTTACATTAAATTAATAAAAAGTGGTACATAATTGTTGCGTCATTAAATATCTATTAGCACATTCTCTGAACGTTTAAAAAAATAGTTAATTTATTAATTTTTTTTTATTTAAATATTTTATCAAATAAATAATAAAATATATTGAACATTTTTTATGTTATATTAATACTTTTTAATTCAATATAATATTAAACTTTAGCATAGGCAACAACTTCATTTTATTCTAAGGTATTCAACTCAATATTTCTTAATGGTTTCAAAGACTAATTAAAAACTTTCATTGAAGTTAAATTATTATTTTAATCTAATTTCAATTAAAATTCATGTTTTATTGAAATACTTTTTGTTTTATATATAACATTTTTTTTTTATCTAAAAGTGTTTAAATCTTTAAATATTTCAAAATGCTAATTTTGTTAATGAGTATTTTAGTGGTTCATGATAAACATGATTACCTTGAATTGTCTGCTTAAAATACTGCTCTAATAATCTAAATGATGAATTGTAAAATTATATTCCCAAATATAAATAGAAGTTATTATATAAATTGTTTGATAACTTCATTTTAAAAGCCCTTCTATTAGTAGTTATTGTTTGAATATATAAATGTAGGGTATTAACATTTTTATATCTAATGGAGAGGAAGAATGATGCCGAGAAATGTTTAGTGATAAAAATAGCAAGACTGAGCCTTCCATTCAATAGATTCATTTGTTAATAATTTTTAATATACAGGTCTAAAAGTCGTTATTGACCAATAATTTTTATTTCATCATTTTCTATTTTTAAGCTAGTTAAATATGTATTTTGTCATTAAAAATGAAAGTTGATGTCTCTGTAAGTTATAATGGACAAAAAAATTACATAATAATTGATAAATAAAAAAATATATATAACAATAAATAGATATAAAAATAAACATTAAAACATTAATTATAACATTAAAAGAATCACTTTGTATAAAGTTACTATTATGTAGGTTGTTAAATTATAAAATATTTTATATTTTAGCCCCAGGGATCAAGTAAGTTTTGTTTTTCAACTAAAGCAACTGTGCCTTTTTCTATACATGAAGATGAACCGACAGAAACAAAAGAAAATATTGAGAAAATTCAGGAAAAAAAATCTACATTTGATAGACCATTTCAGATTAAAAATGAATGTAAAGTTACTGAAGTTCAGGTATTCATGATTAAAAATCAATTTGATTTTTTATTAGAAATAATATCTTAATTAATTTGACTAGATCAATACACATAGATTAGAATTAAGAGAAAGAAAACCACTCTCTGATGTTGGCCAAACCATACTTCCAGTTAATGAAATTGTTGAAAGTGCTGATAATAGTATAAAACTAATCGATGAATCTGCAGATTCAAGTTGTGTGTATTCTCCTATGTCTGTTGAACATGATAAGTCTCTACAAAGTGTTTGTAATTCTTTGACAGCATATCGATTACGCTGTGATGTAGATACCTATACAACTGAATTATACTCATATCTTAGGGATGTAGAGGTATTAGTTTTATTTTTGTTGGTATCTTATTTAAAAATAAAATTTTTTATTGTTTCATTTTTAGAAATTGCATCGCCCAAAGCCTGGTTACATGAGGAGGCAACCTGATGTTACTTACAGTATGAGAGCTATTTTGATTGATTGGCTTGTAGAAGTTGCACAGGAATACAAATTACAAAATGAAACATTGTACTTGGCTGTTTCATTTATCGACCGTTTTCTAAGTTTAATGTCAGTAGTAAGAGCTAAATTACAATTACTAGGCACAGCAGCAATGTTTGTTGCATCGTAAGTCATTTTTATATATAATTAATATTTAATTACATAAATGAGTCACAATTTAAAAAGTTTAAAAAAAATATCAAACTTTATTATTTAAATTTATAATTACATTTGATGAATAATTATAGTATTGCTTTAGTTGTGTATATATTTATTTGCATATTGTGTTGTACTGATTGTTATCAGTTTATTTTTATTTAAAATTGTTTAGAAAATATGAAGAAATTTATCCCCCTGATGTTAGTGAATTTGTGTATATTACTGATGATACTTATACCAAAAAACAAGTATTAAAAATGGAACAGCTCATTTTGAAAGTTTTAGGATTTGATGTCTCAAATCCTACTATCATCATTTTTGTTACTCATATTTGTGTTCACTGTAATGTTTCCTTGAAGATCATGTACCTTGCAATGGTAAATAGTGAACATTTTTTATTTTATGTGATTTTAAACTTTGTCAATTATTTTATTTATTTATAGTATTTGAGTGAATTGAGTTTATTAGAGGCAGATCCCTTTTTGTTGTATACTCCGTCAATGATTGGTAGTGGAGCTGTTGCATTATCTAGATTGATTTTAGATTATGAAGATATTTGGACAGAAGAAATGTCTCAATTAACTAATTATTCCTTAAATGATTTGATACCTGTTCTTAAACACTTAAATCAAACTTATAAGAATGCTCCACATTTACAACAAACTGCTATTCGGCTAAAGTACAAGTCTACAAGGTATTTAATTTTTTTAATTAATTTATAGAGATAATTTTGTCTATAATCATCATGTATTGTACTTTATTAAATTTGTGTTATTATATAGATTTAAGTAAATGGTTTAAAAGACTAAAAAGATTTTTCATTATATTTATTATAAAAACTGGTATATTTGGGAATTTTGATTTTTTTTATTGTTATTAACTCATTTAAATATTAATCAAGTTATATTTTTTTTTTGACAATATTTAATGAAAATTATTGAATTTTATAATTTGTAAGTTATATACTTAGTGAGAATTTTTAACTATTGTGGACTATTTAATTAAACTTATTTAAATTAAATCAATATTATAAATATATATTTTTATAATATATAAATATTTATATGTATTATACATATATATATATATATATATACAGGGTGTAAATCTTTCGAACCATAGTAATGTATGGGCGAGTATCCTGGTAAAGTGTAAAATAGGACCTCGTTTTTTTTTTTATTTTCCAAAATTGGTGGAATTTTGAAAATAACAGTATTCCCCGCAAAATTCTCCTACAAATTGAGTGGTCACTCGATTTTTTGTAACTTTTGCGCCCTCCCCTGAACTTTGGGTTCAAAGTTGGAAAAAAATTTCACGTTAGTGTAACCTATCAATTTGTATTGTAATTTTACAGGGAGTCCTGTGATGTAGTTTATTTTTAGTATAAACGATTAAATAACAAGAAAAACCGAAAAAACCTACAAATAATGTAATATTTATGCATTTTTATTGCACAAAAAAAGAAGCTATATTTTAAAGGTTATCTAATATTATGTGCAACTTAATAAGTGACTATTCAATAGTGAACAGTATTTTTCGAACATTTAAATAAACATTAACAAGCTCAGTGATGTACCATATTCTCATTATTGATTAATTTCGGAAAAGAGTAGTGAGCCGATTACATTAAAATAATTATTTCTAATTATCCTATTGTAATAATGTTAAAAATATTCATTTCAATATTATGATTGTTTTACTTTCCCGACCTAAAAAGAAAAAAATTTATAATTTTATAACAGTTTCAATGATAAAAATTATAATCGGTTTGAATAAATAATAAAAGACGAAATAAACTCGCGAAATTAAAAAAATATCACAATATTTGTGGGTTTTTCGTNCACCAATTTTGAAAAAAAAAAAAAAACGAGGTCCTATTTTTTACTTTACCAGGATACTCTCTCATATATTTCTATGATTCGAAAGATTTACACCCTGTATATATATATAAATCAATATCAACAAAATGTTTTAAAACTATTTATCTATTACAGATATCATTGTGTTTCTGAAATTGAATATAAAGAATTAAGTTTACCCGAAGAAAATTCTCAGAAAGAAATGGCAGAAAGACTTAAAATGGTTGGTGTAAAAGATGCATTATAATTCTGTCGTTATTTATTTGTTTTTTTTTTTTATTATTTTTATTTTTTGTAGTGAACGATACATTTTTTTGACACTTTTTAAAATTATATATTTTTAAGTTTAAAAGAACAAAGTTACGTTCAAAACGAACCATAAAAACTGGAGATTGTTTTTATTTCGTATCTTAAAATCATGTGTAAATATAAAAAATTTTTTACATTCTTTTATCATTATAATTATTTTTTTACTTATTTTTATACATTTTTTTTTAATTTTAAAAATTAAATTTTATGATTCCGAGTTAAAAAAATATATATATGTGTGTATGCATTTACAAAGAAAATCAATAAAAAAAAAACAATTTCAATCAATAATAAAGATATTCACCACAATAATCGCATTTTTGAGGATACATTATTTTTATTTACAATGAAAAAAAAGTTTATTTACCTTTTCTATAATAACTTATACTTGGCTTTAAGTATGGGTTTTAAAGATTTGTAGATTTATAATTATAATTATATATATATATATATATATGTATACATATGTTTTTAAATAATAAACAATTTTTATCGTTAACCTTTCTTGTTATGCAATTTTATCATAAAATTAGTACAAATTACTAAATGAAACTATCTGCATACAAAATATGAAATGCAAATAAAATATTTCTACTAAGATATTGTGTCTATGTGTTATGTGTTCTTATTGTATAGTTAATTTTTTTTTTCGAATTTAGTTTTATTTTTAATTAATTAATAAAAAGTTACATGATTTTATAACAAACAATAATTATTTTTTTATTTTTGTGTTAAAAGTACATTGACAAAAAAACTCATAACAATATTTTGTCACTGAGCTACTCTTGATAAAAAAAATTTATTGGAGTTATAAAATGATGGATTTTTCAATCTTTGTTATTTTTGTATCAATTTGTATTTTTGTTTTTATAAAGTTAATTAACAAACTATGTTGAATAAGTATTTTTCAAAATTTTTTTGCAATAACATGTACAATTATGAACTGTTTTTATTTCAATTTTTTTATTATTGATAAATAAAATTATTTCCAAATACGTTTAATTTGTTGATTGTTTAAATAATTCATTAAAATCCATTTTTTAATCCTAAACTTCACAATATAGTTCAATTAAGAACTATATTTACTCTTGATCAACATTTTTAATTTTCTAAATACCTAATTTAATTTGGTATAAGCAAAAAAACGAATTTTTAAAATCAATCTAGCCACTAAAGTTTTTAGAAATAAAAAATCAGTTGAGATAGGTGTATGTACTTTAATGATATACTTTAGAATTATTCCTCTTAAATAATTATCATATAGAAAATAAAAAATTCAACCTTCAAGTGTTTATTAAAAAAAAAATATGAAGGTTATGCGTGCCTCAATAAGAAGCAAATTAAACTATATTATATATTTAAGTAATTGGGATATTCTTAATTTCAAAATAAATTTGATAATGTAAAAATTATGGTTTGAGTATATACACAAATTATATTGCTTAAAATATATTAAATACACATTGTATTTAATTTATTTAATTTAAAATGTTCAGATATAAAATGTGTTTGTCAGTATTTATAGTCTACTATAATAACTATTCAATAATGTTATAATCTAAAAACTTTGAATCATTTATAAATCACAACGTAGTGTATCAATGAAGTTTTTTCTAATTATAAAATTTATAATTAGTTCTAAGTTATAATGGTTTTTAATATGAAGCGTGATGAAAATTATTGTGACTATTATAAATGAATATTTACTTTAATTATGAATGGTACCATTTTTTAAAGTTTTTTTATTTCTGAATGTTCACATTTTTTTATCTGGTCAATAATATTGACCTAAAGATGTTAATTAACCAATAAACAGACATCGCTCACTTCTTTTTAAATAACTTTATATATCAAAATATTGTAATATTATATTATTACTTAAAATATTAACATATAATATGATGTTATCATTTGTACATGTATGTCACATATTATGATTATAAAATATCACCAAAACAGGGTTCTTTTATTCAAAATACAAAATAACTCTTTAATTATGCGATAAAATATCCTTGTAGAAATTATTAAGTAACGCCTACACACAGGGCTCTCTTTATAATTAACCAATTAGAATACAAAACAGCTTCCGAGATCACGGTAGGGATCGTTGGGCTACCCCCTTTAGACTACAAAAAGCCATTTTTCTCCGTCTAAACCAATTCTTTCGGTGATTATAAAAGTCACAAACTCTACAACTCTCTACTCAAGATTTCAATCTCCGGGACTTAGTCGATTTTTTAAATTAATTTTAAATATTTTTCTTTAAAACTAAATGAGACTTAGAAATTTAAAGGGAATTTTGTTTTGGTGAATCTTTTAATTTAATTAAATTTTTTCAATAAATAATAATGTTTTATTTTTATTGTTGTGGAAAGAAATATGAAATAATATTTTAAACATTAAATCTTTTATTTTAATAGTAAATCCAACCCAACTTTAAATTTTTACTTAATAGTAAAAATTTATTGTGAACTATTCTTACTGGGTAGCTAGTCATTGAGCTTAATGTCTTTGCTTTAATGAGCATTGCGCCGGCGGACAGAGTAAAGGTTGCAACTAGATATTATTCTAAAATTAGGTATATTTAATTAAAATTGTGAGCCTATGTATATTGGGTAGCTAGTCTCTGAGCTTAATGTCTTTGTTCTAACGAACATCGAGCCAGCGGACAGCGCAAAGAAACTTACGAATATATTTTTGTAGTGTTTAATTATTGTCTTGGTGATTATTGTGCCTCATCCTTTCAAGGCTCTAGCGTCGGGACACATTGGGCCACCACAATTACGCTTTGATAAATCTATTATAGATATAAATATTTTTGAATCTTGTTTTGGTCAGGCCAGAGGAAAATTTAAGAAATATTAGTGTCAATCTCTCAATAAAATATACTCTCTCAAAAAAAAATAAAAATTATTCAACAAACGTAAAAAATTAATAAGGACAAATTATAAATTATATTTCTAATAAAATAAAGAATTTTTAGAATCTTTTACAAGTGAAATCAGTCATAGATTTTGTGTAATTAAATTGTTTTATCTAAAATTTGAATAATTTTCGTAAGTATTATATTGATTATATGACGTGTAAATCGTATACGTAGTGCGCATTTAATACCAAAATCAACATTGGATTACTTGAATTATTATTTCATTACATAGGACGTAAGGTAAGTACAATTTATCCTATGCTTTCGAACCTCCAACAATCTATTGCATAATAAATCATTAAATAATTAGTATGAGAATTAATAAATTAAATAATATTATATAAATTTAAAATATTTAACATTCCAAAAGTTATTTTTGTGTGAAAATTCACGATTTTATATTTCACATTTTTAACTTTATTATGCTATAACTTTTTGAAAAATATATGGATCAATACAATTTTTTTAAGAGAAGTAGTATTTATATAAATCTTTCATTCGACATATTTTTTTTGAAATTTAAGAAGAAAGTTTCTCTCCTATTATAGTCATTTAACGTATGCCATGACGACTTTTGAAACGTTCTAACCACCCCTTGCTAGTCACAAAATCATCTTTTTTTATAATTTCCTTATAAAAAAACTTAGCTTTCATGGCCAACATGGGTCTCGAAATTGGAGCGTGCCTATTTCTTTCCTGGAAAAACCACATGTACAAAGCTTTTTCCACTTCTGGATGTTCTGCTTTCTTGAGTGTCTGTCTCTTGCCTGGCCCACAGTCAGTAGTTGATACGAAGTTTTTAATCTTCTCATGATTTTTTTTAATATCATAAATTGTAGATCGGCCTACCCCGTATTCACTTGCTAAACTACTAAAAGATTTATTACGATTTAAACGGTCTAAAATATTACATTTTTCTTTAATTGTTAGTGTTTTGTGCTTTCGCTTCTGGACTTGTGACGACATAATTTACTAGGTACGTATACGTAATACACAATGAATAAACAATAAAGAAAGAATCTATACTTTGTGTACAATAGTGATGGCACAATTGTAACCTGTTCAATCATGCATTATCTACATTAGCGAAGATTGGGACACATTGGGCCACCACAATTACGCCTTGATAAATCTTTTACATAAATATAAATATTTTTGAATCTTGTTTCTAATAAAATAAAGAATTTTTAGAATCTTTTACAAGTAAAATCAGTCATAGATTTTGTGTAATTAAATTGTTTTATTTAAAATTTGAATCATTTTTGTAAGTATTATATTGATTTATGATTATAATATGATATTTTTGAATTATGCTTGTATGAGAATGGTATAAGAAAATAGTATATTTCAGTAAAATTGTTTATTTGAAACTTAAAAACTAGCTACTCAACCACACATTAAATGCATTATAAATAATAGATTTTAATGTATTTTTAATTTTTAAAATTTTAGTCTTGATAAATTAAGTTTTCTGTGATATGACGTTGAAAGTAGTGAATGATATCATGTGAAATTATTATTCAAAATATCAACATTTAAACTTCTGACTGAGCGCATATACACAGTATTTAAATCGAGAAAAAATTGGAGTCTGAGACAAAGTACTGGCTGGATATTTAATTATATACCGTGATTATAGTTTTAATATGTTTTTCCCTAGTTAATCCTTTTTCACAGGTCTATGTTCGCTTTAAATTGAGTTTCCACAGAATAATTGCACGACATTTTAATCAATACTGACCAAAAAACATTCATATCGAGTATGAATGTTCAAATGACAAAATTTGAATTGAGTGCATTAAAAGTTATTATAAGAACAAAGAAAAATCATCAGGTAAGATTTCAAATCAATAAGAGTCAATACTTATATTATATTATAACTCAATTATTTAGAATTAATAATCTGAGTACAGAACGATAAAGCAATAGATCAAATAATTATATCAGTCTATAAACTTAAATTAATTATTACTGACTAGTTCGTATCTTATACATAATCACATTACATGGTATTCGTGAGATGGCCACCGCCTCTTCATTGCCTCAGTGTATTATTACAGGTACTTACCAGTTGGGTCATTTATAATGTCTCTATAAGAGAAACTTTAATTATTACTTTTTATATCTACTTGTCTTTATTGTTCTAAACCCTCGGACTCTACAACCCCTATATCACCCATGTCGCATCATCTTTATTTTTGTATTATTACAAAACTCTTCTTCTTTTTCCTCGCCTTAATCCGTACTACTTGGAGTCGGCCACACTTGTTGTCCCTGCGGATATCCGATATGGGGCAATTCGCCTAAGTTTTGTTCAGGACTTCTCATACTTTTTGACAAAAATTCTATGCCGGTTGTCGACCTGACGCAATCTTATTAGTCGCCTTTTACGACTAGAAGTATTCTTATCCCCTACCCACGGGGAGGTATGTATGAAACTATTATTTTAAATAAACACAATCATAGAGATTCGTTATGCGATACTTTCATGAACTTTTGGTACAAAATTAGTATTTTAAATTTTTTTAATAAAATGTTACGGAATTGTTGAATAAGTTTTTTTCTGAAATGAGTATTTAATAAATTATTAATTTTTGAAATAATATTCTTACAGTTAATTAAGCAGAAGAGATTCTAGTAATTCGTTTTGTTTTAATATGCAGGTAACATTTTCCTTGTAACGTTCATGTATTTTTTACTAAAAAATATATTATATTATGAATCGGTAGAGAGAAAAATTTATACGTCTACTACTATGTTGTGTGGAAAATACTATAGAAAAATCTGATGAAATATTGAATTTATTTCCTCCTCTTTTATGAAAAAATGACGGGAACGCCAGTGCTTTTAAGTTTTAGATTAATTTTTTATAAAATTCACTTTGAAATCTTATACTCAGTAGCACGACTCATTTAATATTCGATTAATTCTTTTACGCTTTCATGATTCATTTTGAATTTTGCTGGGTTGGATGAGTATCCTCGCTTTTATAATGTAACTACTGCCTAGCGGTTGTACATAACAAGCTGTAGTCGACTTTTCAAATAAGTCTTTCTATATTTTTGAGTATCTTTTA